GGCTTGCTGAATTTCTTGTTGCTCTATTTGGCATTCTACTGAGTTAAAGAGCATCAATTTTGTTATGAATCGATTTTAAATCTTAGAAGAGAAGAATCTCGATTTTTACAGAAATCAATTTTTTCCCACTTCTAGTTATCAGCGCCAGAATCCTGAATAAGTTTCACTATAAAACATTACAAATGAGAATTTGACATGATTCATAAACTACGTAAAGGTCGATGTGGGACCTTATTATCTACATATGCTGGTCTGCTTAAATGTGTGTGTATTTATCAATTAAGTGTGTCTTTAGGATGTTGGACTACTAGCAAACACAGTGGGAGAAAACTCAATGAACAATTATGACGTAAGCAGCATATTCAGATGGGAGGCTCTCACTGCTCGCCCTTTTTTATGCTCCCTGTGATATTTCTGCTAATTTCTGAGAAATAATAAACGTGAAACGATTTTCAGAAAGGCCATGCTGCTTGTCTATACTGTTTTTCTGAGTCTGAGTTTCGACGGTGAAGTAGTTAGAGAACAGTATGCTTGACCCACAGTGAGAATGGGAACAAAGACCCAGTCTCAGGTAGGATATCTCATTGAAGTCATTCACTTTTGTTTTGTAACTGATACAATATGCCTTTTTTAAGTACATGTACAACATGAAATATTTGGCCACATTATAAAACTAGTCAGCAGTTGCATCACAATCTACCGGTATTGATTAAACTTGTCATGAAACTTCAAGATTATCCAGATTTTTGGAAAACAAATTATTCAAAACACATATTCAACTTTGACCCACAGCTGAAGACTTCTTCACCCTATCGGGTAGTTGATTAGTTGATAAAGTGGTCATCAGTTGCAGCAGCATGCAGCTTCACCCTCTTGAACATAGAAGAGGTGAGTGTTTGTACATTTATAGGTCGCTCTTTCTGTGTTGGTGTTGAGTGATGCTTTGGCATCCTGGTGTGGCTCTTGAGGCTGCGTAAACTGTGGGGGGTGTTTGATGTGCCCTAAAGCCAAAGTGAGGTGGCCGGGCCCATAAAGAGCCTTACAATAAAGAGAGAACGGTGTGTGTGTGTATGTGTGAAGCAAAATGACTACAATGCTGGCCTGAACCATTAAGCGTGGATGAGACATAAAAGAGGCTATCAAAGAGTGTAAACCACAGATTCCCATTATTGTGTGACATTAGCCCATAGCACACAGTAACCCTTAATGATCCCATAGGTGCCTGCAGCACACTGTCCTTTAATGACTTCCTGGTTGAATGATTGTTGGTTCCTGGAAGCAAAGTCCAGAGAACTGTAGCTCCACACATGCTATCTATTTTGCAGCACTAACAGACATTATTCAGAAATAAAAATAAATGGATGTTAGCCGAGAAATATCAAATCAACACCGCTTAGTGTCCGTTTATGTAGGAATCAAACTATTTATGCAGATAAGGTGATCAAACAGGGTCGGATCAATTAAAGTAGATTTGGACAAACTGAAGCTTCATAATGCGCTAATTAGACAGCCAGCCTCTACGCTCAATAAATGTAAATTAATTCCTTTCCCTTCCGTCCTCTCTGTCTGTTTGTGTGCCTTGCGTCACCCCGAGGAGTTAAACAGAACACTAATTCTTTATCTAATTTCCCCACAACTCCCCATTGGTTTCTCTCCCTGTGTCTCTCTCTGCCTCGTCTCTCTCCATCTTTCTTCTCACGCTGATAGCTTGTCCCACAGGACCCCAGCAGTTGTCAGTAATCAAGGAAATCACTCTCAAAGAGCTACAAATAGGTCACTTATCTGATGTCTGGTCTGATCTGACAGACACAGACAGCCAGTTAAGTCCCATGCATCTGCCTTGCTCTGCCATTTCTAGTGTGATTAGTTGCCATTCTGTCTGCCAGAAGGTACTGAAGTAAGAGAGAGAATGAAAGATAGCAGAGGATGGATAGAGAGGGAGGGAGAGAGAGAGAAACCCCAGCTTTCATCATTAGCATTCAATTCAAATGGCTCAATTGAGCAGTTGTCACTCATGGGATTCCCAGGACTCCGAGAATCCTTGCTTCTTCATTTATTCAATTTATTGATATAAAGACTCTTCATTAAGAGACACCGACAAAAGTGACATCTCGTCTCAGGTGGCCTCAACGTGGAATATTTAGCAGGCAGGGACACACAGGCCACCTGACGTGTAAGGGCCCCTTTGTTTCCTCATGGGGCTATTACAAGTATATAAGTGCCAACTACACACGGTGAGCTTTGAAGTTCCAGTGAGGAGACAGATTGCACACACACACACACACACACACACACACACACACTCAGACACACAGCAGTGCACACACCCACATGCAGAGGCGCGGAGCCATGGCCGGTGAATTATTGAACTGAGCTGGTCCTCTTGATCCACTCTTTGGTGTGCACACAGAAAATCTCATACCTGTCCAACACTTCCCTACACACACATATATGGCAACAGTTGTTTTTTTTTGTCTTACATGTTCCTGCAGCTGGATAAGATGTTTTATGATATGCCTCAGTTCACTTTTGGACGGTGAAGCGGTTAAGTGTTTGTCTGCTTCAATGATTAGACAGAGGGATTCTCAGGCATGTTCTCATTAGTGAAATGCATAATCCGTCTGTTCTGCTCCACATTATCCATGTGTTATTCAAATGGATAACACTGATGATGATGACGAGGGTGACTGATTATATTATATTTTTATTTATGCCTTGATTTTGTCCTGCTTTGATTGGCATGTGGTGAGTGTCCTGAATAATACATGTAATTTATCTTACAGTATCATTGTCATGCTACAGTGATTACATTACTGATTGATAAGAGCGTACAATGCTGTACATTACACCTGCAGGGTTCACATATGGATCATGTGTGAAGCAGCTCAGGAAATGAAAATTGCCGCTGTGAAAGCTCGCTGCTGAGTGCTACAGCGTTTGTGTGGGAGGATCACGTTGGAAATTAAGAGAGAGGGTATCATGTTCAAACAGAGAGATGTTTTATGCAGAAGCCGCCGTCACTGCTGAACGGATGAAGTAATTTCATTTTCATGCATGATCTGCAGCCCCACAGACCAGGAAAATTGCAGAGGAGGGAAAGAGAAAGATAGAGAGGAAAAAAGAGCCAAGCCTTCCTTTTACTCCATTTGACTCTGTGATTATTCTCTCAGACTTGTAACCATAGTGATGGTTCAGTCCCAATGGAAAAGGAGTCAAAACAGCGTTAGTTCAGAAACAGAGGGCGAGGTTAGAGGAAAGATGGAGATATTTGCCACTTGAAGGTGGATCATAAATACATGGAATCTCTTTATAGTACAGGGTTTAAGTAGTCATTGGCCATTGTAATTTTTTTAATGATTCCTGTCAATTTGAAGAAGAACACTGGGATCAGATGAGTACATGAAAGGGTTATATTATAGTTATTTTTAGACAAGGACTAACAGCCTTTAATACCCCAAAAGGTAAATATGCACCATTGTGGTTGTGAGCTGAGTTTGTATAAAAGATATGAATCAAGTTCAGTTTTTTTTCTTATAAAACCCCTTTGATAGCACATTAATTAGGAGTTTACATCTCAAGCGCTTTACTTTTTTTGCAGATGACACCATCATCATCTTTAGATTTCTGCATTGATTAGGGTTATAGGTAAAATATGATATTTAAGCAATAATATTGTTTTTTTCTTTTAACCTAAATACTCACCATTGGGTATGAAATTCTTTTTTAGTGACATTAAGGTTGTGAGTGAGCCCATTGAACTTAACTGTAATGTCGGGCTGGGTATAGCTACACCGGGACCTGCTCACAGTCGGGATGCTAGAAAGAAAGACAGCATGTGACCCCCAAAAGTAACCTGTTAGCAAACGTTTCTCAATTAGCTCCAAAAGCTGATCCAAGCGAGGCAGAGGCGGTGAATGTTAGCCAGGGGGCCAACGCCAACGCTAACGCTACTGAGCCAACACGTATTTGATGATATTATATAATGTCATCTGTTGAGGGCCCACTTACTTGGCCTTTCAGGGGCTCAGACATTTCTGTTGGCAGGCCTGTCAGTGAGCATGTATGCCTATATGAACACTCCATACCTCTGCAAATCAATTGATAAATGTTTACAAAATGTCACAAAGTATCTTTAAATATCGTGCGGTTAGTACTTAGATATCAAGAGAGGAAGGCTCTGATGTGACAGCCTGACTAGTACACCTACTTATTATTGGTATCACTTCCAGACCATCCATTTGAGTTACATCATATTAATGTTGCTGCACTATCTGGTGAGACAGTAGTACCCAAAGAGCCCATTGAAAATCGATAGAACGGGGAGACATGCTACAATCTCATCTCCCTTTGTCTTCTTTAAGTCAGGAAGGTGCAGAGCAAGAGTATTGATATTTTTTTATTGCTGTGGCAGAGGAGCCGCTCTCACTGAAACTTGTTCAAGGTAAAATATCTCTTTCTTTAAATGTCATAGTTTGAATTGTGTCTGAAAGACAAACAGAGGTATAAAGAGTGGAACAGGTACATTGAGGAATCAGGGTCCAGTCAGATTTAGATGACAATAATGGCTTAAATCATTTCCATGTCATTTAGCCAGCCGTCACAATTACATTCATGGCTGGCACTGAGGCTCTTTAACACTTGTACGAGTTCAAGGTTCATTGGACAGCCAGCATAAAGTCATCAGGTCAGAGAAAATCTAGAAACATCCAATCCATTCCAAATTCTGCTAATTTTTCAGCTGTCTTTTTCGGCTTCAGGCTCTATGTTCTCAAAAGAAAGCTTTCAGTGGAAATGTTATAATCAGTGTATCTAAGAAATATCGGCCCATGTTCTCTCAAACTTCTGCTTGTATTTCACAATTTCCTTGAATGTCACCGTGTTCTGAACATTTTGTGATTTGTAAGCACAGGTAAAAAAAAAAACCTGAAAAGCCATAAAACGAAAATCAGTTTTTCCTCTTTGTTGAACTTGTTTTTTTCTTTTGTTCTTTTTTTCCTCAGATCCGCTCAGATCAGGACAAGGATGTCGGGATCCGCTACAGCATCACAGGAGCAGGCGCTGATCAGCCCCCCAGTGGGATCTACAACATCGACCCCATCAGCGGCAACATGTTCGTCACCCAACCCTTGGACCGAGAGGAGAGGGCCTCTTTCCATGTAAGCAGGAACTGAGTCCGTCTTATCTGTTTCTCTCTCTCCATTAGCTCCATTTCATTATCTCTCACAGCCAGTACAGGAAAAAGTACCATGTCTTTTTTAATTTTCCATCCGTGTTTCATTCACCACTGAGGTCGCCTGCCGCACCACAAGTTGGACCTCATTTATTTTGTTTCATTTTTCTTATTATTTTTTATAAGATGCTGTGGAGGACTTTAACAGCAGCCTCTCCAGTCTCTGATTGATGCAGAAACTTAAAATGAAATAATGAACGGCTTGGCAAAACACAGCCACTTATGCCGTCATTTAGATTGAAGTCTCGCTGCACAGAGCAGTGTAGGATGGATAGAACAGGGTGAAAGAGAGTACACGCTGAGGAAGAGAGCAGGAAAACTGTTGTTCTCTCTATCAGAGTTAATGAGCAGGTGCAGCTTCAAGTCTGTGCGTACATGTCGGTACAAGTGCTGAATGCTGATTCATATTTGATGTGTGTTTATACCATAAACAGAGTCTCTCTGTCCCATCTCTTTCAGCATGTGTTTCCCACATTTCCTTTGAGTGCTACTGCTGTCTTACTTCATCGCCCCCAAACATTGTTTTAAACTCACCTCAAACACTTTGCAGCTGTGCTGTTCAAAGGTGCAAGCTGACAGATGTACAGTTAGCCTGCATATGGCCCATAAGATTTGCTACAACCCTACCTCACACAAACACACACACACACACACACACATACACACACACACACACACACACACACACACACACACTAACACACTAACACACACACAGGAGGTAGTAGGTATGAGTTCATGACTGGCCCCTCTGGAACCTCGGTTTAAACAGCTTCGTAAATGTGTGAATTTAATATTCAGACCACATGAGACTCGTGTTAACGGGAGGCCATTGGTTCACATATGCACATTACAGGTTTCAATTTATATCAGCAAAGGCTAACAGCTCAACTCAAGGTGAGCACTGGTGTCAGACTCACAGCGCCCACGTGCCTGTCAGTATGACGGATGGCTACACAGCTGATTTGGCTAATTCAAAAGCATGCTGCTGTCTAAGAGGTAGTACAAAATGAAGGAGAAGGGATCACTGCAGTCTCTCAGCGGTATATTGACAATATAAACACCAAAACACTTTGTGGAAAGACTATGAACAAGCACATAGCTCTGGCTGATTGTCTTCTTGGTTGGTTTGACTCATTGTTTTGTGTGTGATGCATTAGCCTTGAAACAAGCCTCTTGTTACTTTTCCTGCTTTGTTCAGGCACAGGACATCACTGTGTGTGTGTGTGTGTGTGTGTGTGTGTGTGTGTGTGTGTGTGTGTGTGTGTGTGTGTGTGTGTGTGTGTGTGTGTGTGTGTGTGTGTTTCTTGTCTCGCCATACGTGCCCTTATACACTCAACCAGCAAATTGGGATCAATAAAACAGGCAGGTTATTGGTGGGGAAGGACAGCCGCCCAATAAACAGTTCTTATGTGACTCTGCCTGTAGTGAAAACAGCATGTTAGGTCAAATGAAGCCTCTATGCACTCTCTGCTTCTCTTCCCATACAATTACTAATATACCTGGGCTTTGGATATAAGCCGATACAGAGTACTGATGAGACGAGGTTTAATTAAAAGCTCAATGCCTTCGGTGTGTTGAATAGACTTTGTAAATGATGTTATAAGTGTGGCAGCTTTGCGCTTGACTTACACAACACTTTTCTTTCTCTTGTAAAGCAAAATGTTACATGTAACATTTTTGCGGATATTGGATTTTAAGAACAGTTTGGACTTTAGCACCCTTCATGCAGGTGGGTTTGTTCCTTTAACCCCTGCCAAATGGACAAGCAATACATTCATGAACAAAGACCACTTCAGTGGAGGTATGGATTTAGAATCTGTTTTTACATTAAATGACTGGCATGGACTGAAATGACAAATGAGGGATGAATGGATGAGGGTGGGGTGTCGAATGGAGGAAACAGAGGAATAGGATTGGCGAATGTAGAGAGAGTTGATGGAACCGGTGGGACTGAGACTCAGCGTGGGAGGAGCAGTCTCTTTATGCTCTGACATACGGATGTTTTTTGAGGTGTGGTTCCCAAATCTAATTTTGAAAAATGTCATCTAAATTGAGCAGCCCAGTATTGCACTCAAACTGAAACAATACCTGATACAATAATTTGAGTCTATATCGGGATAATATCCAATATCAGTATCAGTTTTTGTGCATCACTAATTGATACCCCCATGGACCCATGCAGTGTGTGATGTGATGAGTGATTTGATGTAGGAGAATGTATCCATGGTTTTTACTCAGGGGACATTCACTCCATTGCTTACTTTCTTTCAACTTGACGTTCCAAGCGTTGCTGCACTCTCGCAGGCCAAACTTCGCTAGTTAGTTTTTGGTTCAAGTGAAAAGAGAGACGAGGCTGCTGTTTTTGACAGAAAAGCACCAGGGGAAGTGATCTGTGAGGTTATGAGAGTGGGTGTTAGCCTGAGCTTCAGTTTTGTTAGACAGATCTCCTTTGAGTCCACAGGGCAGGAGGAGAATTGAAGAAATATAAAAAGATGTTTTGTCTTCGGATGAATACATGTACTATAGTGGTAAGTGAGTGTGTGCATATGTTTTGCATGAATACATCTATCATGATCTGCTCATATTGCTTACAGTGTTGGTTAATAACAAGAGGACAATGACTTGTAACCTTAAGTTGCTCAATGTCTCTCTTGATCATTCTCAGTTACACATCATGTTAAAACTCAGTCTAAATTTGCATAAGCCTGATTGGTCATGTTGAGCTATGCAACTAGTGAGCATGTTTGGAGCTGTCTGTCCTTTTCATTCTTATTTTTCAGGAAGCACTTTAGGCATTTTTTTCAACTTTAAAATCTTTACTTGGACTCGTGAATAAACTTGTTGGGTTTTTGGTGTCAAAGGTCATCATTTTGTTCCGAAGGGCTAAAGCTATGAAGTAATTACATCATTTACCCTGCGTCAGGGTGTCAGGAGAAGGTTCTTCTCACAGCCATATGCTCTGCAGAGAAGAAGTTATCAATTTAATGAGTCTATTCTGTGTACACACCGTCTACTGTATTGAGTGAGGTCTGCTTGTTGTTTTCCTCTTCAGAGTTAGAGTTTTTCATTATTTGAGTTGAGGTTTTAAGGACAGAGGACGTCGCATGCTGGTTGGTCTGCAAAGCCACATATGGAAAATTTGTGATTTATGACTTTTTCTTTTTAAAAGAAACCCCCCATGACTTGCTAAATTTTAAAGTATAGAAAATTATAATGGCCTGCTTTTAAGACAAGCTGTGTCTTGTGTTTCTTACCAACCTAGGTAAGGAATGCCAGTGATGCCAATCAATCTGATTATGTTGAGAATTTTGGTTATGGTGGCACTACATGAAAATCTTAAGGATCACAACAGTGATTGTTAATAAATGCAAAGGGGCCTCTCAATTAGAGGCCCCTTTGCATTTATTGTTGAGAGTAGAAAAAGCAGTACAGCAGGTTGGCATAGATGCTGTCTTACAAAGTAAGATCAAATGAGTGATTTCTAATTTCTAATTTTAACACTATCCTAATTGAATACACAATTAAATATTATTTCTGGTGTAAGTTTAAAAGGCGAAAGTATTTCCTATCTTTGCAGAGCACAAGTTTGATTTGAAAATAATGAAAGGACTGTCTGGTATTGACGCATGCAGTTTAACTGCATAGACTGAATTAAATAAAAACTCGGGCTATTATTTGAAGTTTTATGACACATTTTAAAAGAAAAATGTTTGTTTTTCCCCCCCAAAAAACATGGACTGAATCGCAATTGACTTCAAGCAGTCCCTTCAGAAAACATTTTCTTCGACCAAGGTTATACATGAAATGGTTGTTGGCTTATACATCTATAGCTACAATAATAAGGAAGAGAAAGCAAAAACAAGCTGAATTGCTCCTGATTTTGGTTCAGTCATACTAAAGCATACCATGCAGAATACTGATGCGGCCTCACAGACACTGGTTTGCTGTCTGCTTGGAGAACACACTCCTCCAGGCCCTCAAATCACATCTCCAATTCATCCATGCACACAGAGATACACACACACACACACACACACACACACACACACACACACACACACACACACTCGCGCGCACACACACACACACACACACACACACACACACACACGAGTATAGAAATATTTACTTTACTGAATTATAAGAAAATGTGCAGGAATAACACTCCAACCAAAAGGCAGAAAGGTCAAACATGCACATGAACAAAAACACACAGTTTATCACACACACAAAAAGAACACGCAGAGCCATTATCATTCATGCGGTGAAGCAGTCACACAAATCACAGTCACACATCCCTCAGCGTGCAGTGTTCACAGCTGAGAAAACAGATTGGGCTTGTTTGTTTGTTGGGTCTGCTCTCCATGTTTGTTTGCTGTACTTCAGCCAATGGAAAACTAGCATCTTGGGGATCATTAAGTGGCTAAAGAGGCCTCTTCTGATTGGCTGTGTGTGTCGTGTCAGCGTCCGTGTTAATATGCGTAAACATGTGTCTGGAGCACTATTTGGATGCATGTCTGGGTATGTTTTCATACATCCTTGACTGCAAGGAACAAAAAGCCGACATGATTAGTTGTGTTTTGGTGAAAGGCAGGTACTGCTATTCAATCTCTCATGTCACCCAACAATACATCACGACTCCCTGTGAATAGGCTGGCAGGCAGATCCTCCTCTCTGTAGCTGCAGACAAAATTGTTTGCTGCCTGTGTGTCACTCCTAGCCAGAATGAGGCACCCTCTTCTCTCACCAAGCCAAAGCCGTGATAGAATAACATTTCTGCAGAGGATATGAATTTCTAGCCAATTGAATGAGGCTAATGTAAGTCGCAGTGAACAGAGACGCTTTGGTTGCAGGGCTATTACAAAGCTTTGCGTTATGTTAGATATCATTAGCAAGGATTGGTGGGGAGGGGAGGGTGTGTGGCAGCAGTGGTGGAGATTAAGACATCCCACTGTAGATGATGATTGCTTTTGTCAGCCCTCCCTGTTCAAGCCCCCACACCCCCACACTGCCTCTTTGTGTTTTCATCTCTCATTTACTTGCACAAGGCTCAGTCACTCTCCTGCTCTCCTTCCCATCCCATGTGCCTTTTCCCTGCACCGCTTTCCCCTCACCTTCATTCCCATTTCTATTTGCTGTCTCAATTCTCACACCATGAATTGGGAAGGAACAGCTCATCAGTCAGATACGCCCATCCAAATGGCAGGCTTTGTCTTCTCCCAAACAAAGAAATAAACTGCCACAGCTTGAGAAGAAACACCTCTCTGATAGGTTTCAGGCCTCTGGCTGTGCTTACATCCAATAGGTGTTGTTTGTGTTACTAGAACATTTCACTACTCTGCCCCATTCTGTGTTATTGTGGTCCGTGCCAAGATACCAACAGGATACTCATGCCCCGTTGGTAGGCAAGAAATAGAATATCTGTCAGTTGAATGAAGTCGCCAATTAACCAAGTCAAAGTTGTGCTATGTGCTGATATCCCGTCCAGACAGTCTGCAGAGCTTCTTATCAATCAAGCTAGCGGCCTGCTGTCAGTGGAGCTTTCTTTGGAATACAGATTCAAGCTCATTTTTAGTGTTGAATGCTAATGTTCCTGTCTTTTTTTCTGTGCATTTATGTTTGTCCACAGCTAAGAGCCCATGCAGTGGATATGAACGGTAACCAGGTGGAGAATCCGATCGATCTGTACATCTACGTGATCGACATGAACGACAACAGACCAGAGTTTCAGAACCAGGTGTACAACGGCTCTGTGGCCGAAGGCTCCAAACCAGGTAAGATGACGGAGAATCATATGCGTGGTAATTGTTGTATATGTGCAGGTTTATTTATCTGCCTAGCATCAAAAAGCTAATAATACACATTAAGGGACACACAGTAATGTCATCATGCTCTCTTCTTTAGCAAAGCTATTTTTGGCTGACTCATTTCATCAGGCTAATTTATCTAGGAAGAAAACAAAGTATACAAATTATGTATTATATAGGTTCTTTTATTGATATTTTGTCAAGGTAAAAGAGAAGAAAATAAAAGCAGTGTATTTCTTAATGTAAGCAGGGTTGAGTCTGGGTATAATAGAATCAAATAAATGTTGACTATGCCTTTATTCCGGGGGGCCTATCTTTGGCGACTGGCCCCTTAAATGAGGAACTTGCTCACATCATAGTTTGTCTGTCAGAAGTTAAATCGGTGTGATGTTGCCGTGTCAGATTGTTTTCACCGGAAGACAATACAAGATAACCAACAACACAAAAATTAGGAACTACAGAAAAAGTCCAAAGCAAAAACAAAGATTTTCTTCCTTTTTTTTCTTTCTGAAACATTTTTACATCGTCTCCCATGTGGGAGGTCATATTGTCTCACTTTAGTACTTAGGGGCTTCAGGGTCTCATATCCTTTCATGGGAGCAGAGCTTTTACTGTTACTGTAGAATAAGTGAACAAGAAGTGCTGGCTGCCTTTTTTAGGAAGGCACGAACAATATCATCTCAAACTGCACATTTTGTTCAGTTCTGATTGACTAAGTCATCATGAAAGCCATAAAACACCTTTGCTACAAGGCTGTAATCATTTACAATTGTACCCGTAGAAATCAATGCATGTTCAATCGTCACTTTCACCAGCATTTGTAGCCTCTGTGCTTTGCTCAGCAGAAGATTATTAGTGCAATAATCCTTTTGAAGCTGTGCTTTAGACTGAATCATGAATAGCTCAAAGGTTTTATTGGATTAGTTTAAACCACTAACAACTGCAAGTAGAATACGTTTACAGAGCCTCTTATTGCCTAAAGATCATTTCTATGTCTTTACATTTTAATTGATTTGAGTTTTTATGGGTCATTCTACTTCACTTACTTTGACCGATCACACACTCTTTTTTTCGTTTCGGATTTTAGGCAGGCCTTCAGCAGTCCTTCATGATTTAATCTTGCTCACGGAATCCTCGAATAAAACTGCACTTGGGTGGCCAAGCAACATCTTAAGGTGTGAACCCACAATGACTTTTGAAGTTTTCAGCCAGTTCAGACAAGGGCAAGCTCATGTAATATTTGTGTCAGAGAGTCTTGGCTGGATGCATCATTATCAGATTCTGCAGAGCATGGAGAGACATAGACCTTCCCTCAGAATCAGGAGACAGAGCTGTGGTCAGTGGAAAGCTGGAGACGAGAGGAGAATGGGCAAGTAGCTCTCATGTCTCGACTGGAAGAACTCTTGTTCTAACAATCAGACCCCGAGGACCCGTGTTTGTCTTCACAGCGTTCAGATATTGTTCTGCTGCAAAGTTTAATCTCAGGGGGATTTGTAAACAATATAGAAAAGCATTATGTGTGTGTGTGTGTGTGTGTGTGTGTGCGTGCGTGCGTGTGTATACGTATGAGCAAGTATGGGATTGACTGTGTGTGTGTGTGTGTGGTGTGTGTGTGTGTGTGTGTGTGTGTGTGTGTGTGTGTGTGTGTGTGTGTGTGTGTGTGTGTGTGTGTGTGTGTGTGTGTGGTTACTCCTCAGTGGAGCATGGGTCTGTATACACAGCTCCTAATTAGTGAGGGCAACCAGACATTCCAAAAGCAGCTTTCTTCATTTTTTTTTTTTCACACTGATAGTCTGCTTCGTTTAAAGTGAGCGCGAGCGACGACAACTCTTTGAATTAGCTTTCGTTTTGAACAGAATGCAGTCTGTGATACCAATTAACAAGAACTATATTAGCCTTCAGTATGTGCAGGATAATTGTCGTGCCCTTCAGGAAGCATTTACTGCCAGGTAACATTTGTTTGTGTTAAGTGTTGAGAGTTTGCTATCAAAAAGCATATTCTGTGTGTGGAGTGCTTCTATGTTCCTTTGCACCCTCACTGGTCTCTGAATAATGAACTTTAATTAGGAGAATAGGCTGCAAAGCTGGTTGGATTATAGCCTGCTTTTTCAAAGAAAACAAGAAAGACCGCCATTCATCTAAAGTGTAAGTTCAAGGAGACTTTTTTTGTCTGGCTCATTTAAACTGCTAATACAACCTCCACAAGTTTAATCTTTTATCTGACTCATGGACACAGTTTAGACCTCAGGTTAAGTGCTAAACACTTTCTGAAGTTGTTATTTTATACCCCGCAGCTATGCAGGTATAGCTAACAGCATTCAAGGGCAATTGTGAGTTGTTAATGCACATACGTTAATATCAACTTTCTTTTATGCACCAATCCTTATGCAACAAAAGCTCAGCTCCAGTGAATCACAAAAACCAAGGCAACTGGATGTACTAAGATTCGAAGAACTGAAGGGTTCTTCAGATTCTCTGGGTTTTCACATCTTCTCCCTTTCAGTCTCCATCCTTGTCCGCATGACGTGTTAACACTAATTCACTGTTCTGAATCAGTACAGCTTTGCCCCTTACTCTTATAGCTAAATCATTTCAACTAACTTTTCATTTCAAAGAAAAGTCTGAATTGTGATGTTAATATAAAAAGAGGCCCTCGGGTCAACAAGGTTAAGTTAGTTCCTGGACTGTGCTGCACAGATCTCCTGCACACTCAGAGTTTGCATGTGACTTGGATCTTTCTTTGGAGTCCAGTGATGACCGTAGAAACTCCTGAGGCGTCACTCCAGGTGATACGTTCTTTTCCATCCTGGCAGCAGCTGGTGTGTTGAATCACAACATCGCTGCTGACAGGTGCTGCTCAGGGCAGAGTATCCTGAGATGCTGCTGGAATATCTCAATCCCTGCGTCTCCCATGCCTGAAAATGCAAACCTGGCTGAAACATCAAAGGACATTCTTTATTTGTTACCATGTGATAATCCCCTCATCATCATTACCATTCACTGCATTTTTACACTGGGAACACAGCCGTTAGAAAGCAAAGAAAGAAGCTCCCTGGTTCTCACATTTATATATGTTGTGTACAATTTGAGGGTTATGAGCAATGCTTCACTTGAGAGGGTTGTTGGTATCAGTTCCTAAAAGTTTATTTTCTGAAGATTTTCACCACAGCAAGCATTTGTGAAAGCATACTTAGCTCTTGATGCTGTCTAAACAAAATGGATTTATTCACTTCACTTGGCATTGTGACAGAAATCTAGACAGCAGAGATTTGAAAAACCTTTTATAAAATAAATTATCTGCATGGTTGGACGCTACTGTTAATAGCTAATTCTATGAACTCAGAAAAAAGGTTAGAAAATTTGATTCCGCATCGAAAGTGTCCCAATTAATCAAAACTTGTGATGTAATTCATATTTTTATGGACTCCAGCTTGTATCTGCCAAAGCGCCTTTAAACTGCAGGTCAAGCCTACCCATTCACACACTGATGCCAGAGGTTGCTATCCATCAGTATTAACTAATACAATCACTACACATTCACATGACGCAGATGAAGCACCTGGAGCAACTTGGTGCTAAGTGTCTTGCGGCTGCAGGAGCTGGGGATTGAACCTCCGACCTCCCAGTTGAGAGCTGACTGAATCTACCACTGAGCCCCAGCCTGTCAGTTTCAGTTAATTCAGTTTTCAAGCTGCTAATTGATTTTTTTTTGTGTTTGCACATTTATCTGCACTGATTCAGCAAAGAGATGATGAACAAGCCAGAAGAAGCATGGTTTCCTTTCAAACTAATGAGAAAGAATGAAAAAAAAAGAAAAAACTCCACATAGGACAGCATAACCTTCATCTTCAGCATGCACAATATTACAATCCAAATGAATAGAAAAATGCTCACTCCCATTTCTCTCTAAATGCCAAGCAAAGAGGGGATATTTTTGTAGAGCTAAAGTAGTATCACATTCTGTATCTACAGACCATGATATCAAAGGTTCTCTGAAGCATTACAACAGATCTTCACATGTAGCGCTGCGTGACAGCCTTCAAAGAGGGGGACCAACAGGGAACAGGCCTTATCACCGCCACCAGATGTCAATACAGGCAGGCAGAGATCCGATCAGACCATCGGCCGGGATCAGTTTGAAACGGCTTCATTTGTCTCTCTCTGCCACAGGGCTCCCACTCAGCACCAAATATACCTGTGACTAATAAGAATTTAATTTGTTCAGGTAATCAAACGTAACAAGACAGTACAAGACAGGATGAGCTATCTGATCGCAGCAAGCTGTTGTTAATAAGGAATAAATAGGATTCAATCAGAAAAATAGGAAGATGATCCCAGGAAAACTAGCAAAGGTACTGTACTTAAAAAGTAACTTTAAATGGAAATGATGAATAAAAGTCACCAATATGATGTGATGTTGTGTAGAACCTTAAATATGTAACATGGAACAGCCATTTCCTTTTAAAAGGTCTCAGATGAAGATTTGTCGACATGGCGTGACTCCTGCAGAAAGCTCTTGTGTACTCAGAACATCTGCCCATCATCCCCCCCCCCCACACACCCCCAATCCCCCTCTTCTCCACGACTCTGCATGTCGTTCCCTTTTATGGTCAGTCTTTCTTTTTTTCTTTTTTTTTTAAAAAGGCCTTCGGAAATGAGTGTGCAAGATCAAAACCCACAGCTGAGTGCCTTCTCACATAGTCGATTTGCCCCCAAAGGGGGGAAAGGGGCTGAGTCTCTCTCTTTACTCTTTCTCTCTCCTGAAGAGTTTGCTAACAGTTTCAGAGAGGTTTAAGAGACTTTCTCCCTCAGTTTTGCCTGGGGGGATAATTTGGGATTGGCACATGAGGGGAGAGAAGGAGTGATAGAGTGGAGCAGAGTTGGAGAAGAACAGAAATGTTTCAGTTGGTGTTTGACCTGTAGACTTTGTGAGCAGGTGGTAGTCACAGGGCTTCTCCCTTTTAATACCATGTTTGTTTTAAGGACAATCTGGACATCACATCAGGTATCAGTAATTAGTACAGCCGTACTTATATAGGACTTTTCCTGTGTTTGTAAGCGTTTTTCTTTAACATGTTATCCTCAGTAACATAAGTATCTAGCCGTTTCACATATGCACTCCTTAAAAATATCTAGATAATATCAGGAGGATATTCTCCTGACCTGGCTGTTCACATGTGCACTATCCCTGTGAGACGGGAGGTAAGACGTGATGTTAAAAAAGATGACGCGGAAGGAGTGGACGAAGAAATAGATAATATATACGTGTTGTTCAAGGGAATCACAATCTCAACAGAAGAGCGGAGAACAACATACTGGAGAACAGAAAACGTAATGCAGCTGTTAATTAGGCATTTGCATGCATGCACTCTGTGCACCGTGCGGCAGTCACAGCATATACTGTAAACGTCACTCCCCCCTCCCATTGGCTCAGGAGAATTCTCTAAATAATATCCTGCTGCCTTCTCACATCAGCTCACTCGGACTTGCTGTGGAAAAAATACTAAGAGGCTGGCAGGAGAAACTCTGGGTGAAGTCCTAGCGAAAAATGTGACTGTTTGTGTTCACATAAACAAGCTCCTCCAGCAAATATCAGGAGTTTTTCAGACTTTTTCTGCAAGTGTGAAAACCCTATTAAAGTTAAATTTGTTTTCTTATACACTGCAACTTTTCCACTGGCTTGTGTTCAAATCAGCTCCTCATTCCTAGAATCTGTCAGGAGATAACAAAAGAATAGTGGTTTTGTTTTATACTACTTATGTAGTTTAAAGATTCCAGTTCAGGAAGTATTGGTTTCATACATTTTCATGAGGTAGATTGTTTCACATTACAGTAGGTGTGGGGTTATTTTTCCCTCCTGTTTTTGACATATTTTCAGTTATAGTCGCAATAGCTGATGACTGTAAATACTAAAATCCTCATGATTGTGCATGCTTGAACATACATGCTTAACTACTCAAAGTGTCATGGTGTTTTATTAGGAGATATTTAAATGGCCACTTCATATAAACTTATTCATGTACACCAGCATCAATTTGGTGGATGCTCATGTCCACAGCACATTCTTGAGATTTTGGAGGGGCCCCTCATCAGACAGCCTTCTGGAGCCTGCTTTTACCCACAACACTTTTCTCTGTATAAGTCGACAAACATTTATTGTCATCTTGGTTCAATCCATGGTGAAGAAGAGGAGTTCTCTCAGAAATCAATGACTTTCTGGCCTCACCCCTTTCCATTTCAGCAAACTCTTAAAGATTCACTCAGGTTCAGCTGTTTGCCCTTCACGCCCTCACAGACGTCAGCCCACTAGGTGCTTAAAAAATAGAGTTAACAGGTAGAGATTCACAGGCGTGGCTATCATGCAGTGACAGTGATCTCGGTAAAAGCTTCATTTGATCATGCCTTTGCATCTCATTATCAGTGCTGTCAGTATTTGAACTTATTCACAGCGTTTTTCTTTTTTTAACGGTTTAAAAGGTTCAACTGTGTCCTCGTGTCCTCAGAGAGCAGCAGGCTCCATTAGAGACTCTTGTGTGAACTCCCCTTCTTCATTTCCCCCAAGATTCACCTGCTTTCAACCTTTTCTCTTACCTCTCCACCTCTACTTCTCCTTCTCGCTCTCTATCTACTGTAGCAAGGCCTCTCTTTCACCCTCTATCTCCCCTCCACTGATGAGAGTTATTATCCTCTTACACCCCCTCTCACTCCCTGACTTCCTCTTGTACTTTTGCTTTTAGTGGTCTTTGGAATACCTCTCACCTCTATTCTCTTCTTCACTTTCTGTTTCTGCTTCGCAATTTCCTCTTCTGCTTCCTATCTCTGCATCTCCGTGTTTGTCTTCCTCTCTATTGCTGTTCTAGCTCTATCCATCTTCCTCTCGTTCCTTCGTCTTCCCTCTAATTAGGAGGCAGATGTTGACTCGGATTTTTACGTTTATGCCGCAAATAGAGTGAACCTACCAGTGATCTTGGATCACATGAGCAAGATGGCGAGCAGTTTGTGCGCCTGCCACCAGTTGTATTTTCAGCTCCAATGATTGCTGGAAAAGCAATTAGGATTTGGAATTAGTGTTCAAATTAAAGAGGAATTAAACAAGCTCAGAGATTAACCCTTTCAGGCATGGAAAACCTTGTTTGGATCTTAAAGTGCACCATCATCATATCAGTGAATCCTCCTCATTTCAATGAAAGGTAGCAGCGCTGACATGTGATGCAACTTCAAATCATTTCCTTTCCCCCTGGGTCTGGAATGGTTGATTATATATATTAATGTTGTCCTCTGTGGAATAACAGTAATTGTTTTTCTACCTCCTGTCTTCCCTTGGACACTTTTCTTTTGACAGACTCGGCTATGAAACTTAATAAGGATTGAAGTAAATTATGGGGCTACAATTATCCTGTCCATACTGGCTGTCTCAGGAACCAATTATGGGAATGGAGACACTTGTAACTTCACAGACACAAAAGAGACAACAGAATCTGGCAGAGTCCTCAATCTATGATGTTTTGAATAAATCGTATACAATGATAAAGGCAACGTCTCAGGCAAAATGGCAATCTTTCTTACCAACAGAAAAACAAGCAAAATGTCTTTTTTGGTGACACATTTTTATTGTGCCTGCTGTGCATAAAAAACATCACCACCTTTGGTGCAAACTGAGGTAACGAGAGCCCTAATAAGTTCACGCCTGAGTCACTTCTTGCTGCCCACTAGCATAAAAAAACAGGTACAATTAAAAACTATCGGAAATTTGAAAAAAAAAAAAAAATCGCTAGCCACCATTTAATTCCAGGAAGAAATGTAGTTATTTTATTATTATCATATTCTCCATTTCTTTATTTTCCTGTCTTTTTTATTATTAAGCTGTCCTCAATTCCTTCTTTCTGGATGCTTACACTGTCTTCTCATTCGAGCATGTTAGTGCTTCAGCCATCTCTTCTCTCTGCAGTCCCCCTTCTGCGAGCTGACAGTTTCCTCTCTCAGCAGCAGCAGCAGCAGCAGCAGTGTGTAAATGGCTGCCTGATGGAAAGTGACATTTTCATAGAACCCTGTGAAAGAGGCTTGGTGATCTCTCCTCTTTCTAGCACAAAGTGCTCCTAATTGCCTCGTCGCATTTGTGAGCCCAACTGACAAACTCGTGCAAATCAATAATTCTGCTGAGGGAAGATGCCAGGGCACCGAGCGTCTCACCCAGATACGTGATGTGAGGACACAGAGAAGCACGTGCATACAGATGCACACATGTACCTGACATACACTTTTTACCCTCTCTCCCTCTCTCTCTCTCTCTCTCTCTCTCTCTCTCACACACACACACACACACACACACACACACACACACACACCCTCCACCTCTCCATCTACGAGCTGTCTGCCTTAAATGGCAGTGTTTATCTGTGATTCTAAGACAAATAGGGAGAGAGCATCGGAGCATTAAGGGCAGCCACGGAGCCGCTGAAGGCTGAAATAATGGATGGTGGAAATGGCAGAAGACCCAGCATTGCTCATTACTAAATGGACTCTGCAGAGGTGGAAACTTTGCCCCACTAGCTTTCTATATACAAAAGACAAAACAGCCCAGCTTAAAATAGGGGCTTATTCAATGGTTTTTGGGTTTTTGTTCTCTGCTCTGTAATGGCTCTAACTCTGAAAGTTGCTCACAAAAAAGAACAGAGAATGTCACAGCAATTTGCCAAGTCTGATTGACTTGTTTCTTGTTTATAAATGTGCCTGTTGTCTTCTGAGCCCTCTTCCTTCTCTTTGATATTTTCTACAAATTCATTAACAGTAGTTGGCTTACAGGGAACTTTCATAATGCCACTCGTTTTCAAAAGCTGCATATGCGTGGAGGTGTGGAGGACCTTGAAAAGCCCAACATTGAATTTTAATGAATATCGCCTGCTTGTTTTTCTGTGGTGCTTCTTTCCTAACACGACCTCCTTTACCGCTGCGTGCACTGACGTAGATCCTCTACTCTTCTAGTAGTTTGACTTTACTCCAACTCTCCCTCACTAACTTAATTTCTGTCCTCAGGTTCGTCAGTGATGCAGGTGACAGCAACGGACTCGGACGACTCCACCACAGCAAACGGCATGGTGCGCTACCGCATCCTCTCTCAGACGCCCCATAGCCCGATCCCCAACATGTTCACCATCAATAGTGAGACCGGGGACATAGTTACTGTGGCAGCCGGCCTGGACAGAGAGGTCAGTGTATGCATTGTGTCCCTGTTTCTCTCACCATTTTAAATGTATCCATCTTGTGTTTGTCCACTAGGCCATAAGATAAAACTTTGGCTATCATTTGGTGACTTGATAACAATGGTTTGGCGTTCCCTTACTGGTTTGGTTGATCACTGAGGGATTTAAAATGTAAGGACATTATGATCCAAACTCAGGTCCTTTGTCTGAGCTGGCAACATCACGTACTCACAAACTCATAACTTACTAAATCTTCCATTAGTTTAAAGTTCTTTCTTTATTCTTAATTTTATTGGACGTTTGATGAAAGGAGAAGGAAGTAAAAAGGGGAAGGCAATGTTTCCTAATGCTAAGCTAAGATTGGCTAAACTAACCTAAGCTTGGCAAGAAAGGGAAGTGAGCATATTTCCCCAAACTGTGAACCATTTCTCAAACCAGCCAGTCACTTGATTTGGAGACTAGGTCCCTTATGTCCACCCACTCAATAAAGAAACTCAGCCTATCTCCAGAATCAATGCCCCTTATCATGTCCACAGAAACACTGCTGTGTACTGTACTGGGGCAAGTCCAGACTTTTTTCCCAGGTATTGGCCCAACTGACTTGTACAATGTGCGCACACACTAATGAAAAGTATTTATTCACCCTTTCTGTCTCACGTTAAAGTATCATACAGTGAACACAACAGAGTGGCAAGTTTAATTCTGTAAGGACTGAAAAACAAGATGCATTATGCTACATTGAATAGCAAAGAAAGTCACAAGTAGCCAGTTCAACACATGCCAAGTTGTTGATTTTAAATATGGACACAATCAATCACAGTTAAGTATATTGATGAAGCACCAGGGGTGGCCAATCAGTTTTCAAGGGGGGGGCCATGCCAAACATCCACCCCTCGGGACACGCCCATGGCTCCACAGCAGCTAAATTTCAAATCAGTCTAACCACCTGTTGGTTCCATTGAATGATGCTTACCAAGTCTTGTTTTTAAGTCAGTCCTTTAGTCATAAAATGTATTATGGTGAAGTAAATAAAACATCTAGAAACATCAATAAAACTAAATTAAAAGACTTTTATTTTCCTCTGGTGATTACATTAAGTTGTGATTAAGAAAAATAACCTTAGAAGAAAAATTACTAGACGTATCTTTTAATACAAAGTTAAAGCATTTTCTGTATTTAGTATTATTTTTTAGAACACATACTCCAATCTAAGAGCCAAAAAGCTGCTCATTCAAAGTGCTTCCTGCCTCATAAATTCCCAATTTGATCCAGATTTAACTAAACCTCTAAAGAAAAAGGATAACTCTCAGCAGCATTGACCTTTCAAAAATATTATAACAAATCAAGCATGAAATTATTTTTTTCATTCCAGTTGTTTTCCTAGTTTGTATTTGTGTATGAATGTTAGAGACAGGCAAACATGTCATGTTTTTTTCTCAGTGCAAAGAGCAGAGCAGAAATAATGACCACGCAAATCCATCACCTCTCTGCTGAAGAGGTCACAAAAGCTCTGTCTCTTTATTGTCTTCTTTTGTGTCATCCACTGCTGGTGTTTGCGTCTGTTGCTTGCTGTAGTTGTTTGCCAACCCACACACCAAAAACACCACCAGCAACACAATCCTCTCTGCTCAGTCGTACCTTACATCTTATTCTACTAATGAGGAGGGTTTCTCAGTGGCTCTTGTTGATTCTAAGCTGCATCAGGTGACGTTTGTAATAATGTTTCGTTCGTTGGGCAGCTTGTGTCTCATACATACATAAACACACATACATATAAATTTTCCCTGCTCTCTTTTTTGGTGTGAGATTTTTTTTTTTTTTTTTTTTTGCAAATGGCAAAATCAGAGAAATGCTCCCATTCCATTCGTATGCCACCATTATAAGGGCAATCTCATCCTCGTAACTTAGCTGGCTGATTTTACTACCGACATTAAAGCACCGTTGAGTGTGTCTCGTAATGTTTATACTCTGAGAAGTCCCACTGGTCCCACTCAGCAATAAACCCAGCTGGGCAACACTCTGGAAATTAAAACAGGGTTTTTACCAACAGTAAGGTGACAATGTTTGGAAAATAATTACAGTTAAAATCTCAAGAACAAAACCAGGTTTTTAAAACAGAAGAATACAAAACATCAAGGCTGCTTCCTTTTCCAAAACTAATACTCTGCGGGCATGGCATGACAGCGTGGCACATTTGTGGGACAATATAAATGAGTCAAGTGTTCGCGAGCCAGCTCTGTGTCCCTGTTTCCAGCTTGGCCCAGGCTGCAGCAGTAGCAGCTGATGTGAGTGAGGGAAAGCTCATTAATGCGGACACATCAAGCCAGGTTCAGTCCCACCTGCATCTGATCCTCCCACTAAAACTGGGACACACCTGGGAGTTCACCCACCTGCTGTCAAGGTCATCAACACAAACACACAAACACTCTGAGACACATGGGCACAGGTTGGCGTTACACACTCCCCATGCAGTTATGTTTGGAGTTTGAAAGCAGGGAACAGCAGGAACTGTGATGAATAAGATCCAAGGTGTCAAACTGGATCTGTGCCTTCTCTAAATGCTAAATGCCCATGCTGCTACACCAAAGATCTGCACACTGCCTTTATTGGCACTGAATACCTTATAAACACACTAAAAGCAAATACTTTATACTTCTTGTCCCCTCTTCCATCTCCTTCTCTCACTCTTTAGCTCACTCTCCTCCATGCTGTAGCCTAATTAGAATATGCATGTGCTAATTAAGGGGTGAAGCAGGTTCTCTCGTGTTGTTGAGACCAGGGGGACACAGAGGTGAGCCTGCTATCACTTACCTTTGACTCCAATGAACACCAATTATAATTTCTCACTCTCTGACCATAACCCCTCTCCTAGTGACCTCACATGCTTCCCTTTGCTCATGCCCAGAGGCTACAAGGTGTGCTATGCGTTTCTGACATCTTTTTAATATACTTATCTTTAAGTATCAAATGCTGTTGTTTTCATGGTGTAGTTCATTAAAGTGATGATGAATAGGTGTCATACTAAGATTACATAAGATTGCTGTAGGTAAAGAATTATGTTTGAGTTTGTAAATGGTAGTGTATGTTAATTTACTGTATTTTGTACTAAAAAATGCCTTTCTATCAGTCTACTTTGGAAGAGATGCGTTCTGGTAAAGGACAGTTGTATTCAGCAGGCAGCTCAGCGAGAGATTTCAGGATGCCACAGCTGGCACACATGTTCCTCCTTTGTGCCCTCCCTCTGTGCCTCTGGTTCCATTGGCAGGCAGAGCTGATATCTTTCATTACTCCAGGCTGTCTCAATCCCCCATGAATCCTGGATTTGGAACGGTCTGGTGTGGCATGGTGAGGTGTGGCCAGATGCCAGGCTGTCCATCAGGCTGATGCCAGCTCTGCGTAGCACTGTCTCGCCATTGATGAGGACATCGCCTGTCTGCCTAAAAGGATACTTCCTGTAACATGTATGTGTGGCGTTGAAGAAATGCTCAAACAAAATAGATCGCTGATCTGAAAAATTCATAAATATATATCGTACACTTACATCGTCGTTGATTGTTTTGGTAGGGTTTTTTTAATTTAGCTAAATGTTGTGGTACAAATGCCCCGTCTGCAGTGATGTATAGCCTAGCTTCTTTAGTTTCTAATTAAAGGGGCAATGCTTACTGAGATCTACAATTGATAACTACCTCATACAACCTTACTTTTAAACACTCTAACTATCCCTCAAAAGGACATGAGTGCCCTCAGTCTGACTCCATTAGAATCTGCAGAGCCTGTCTGGAGATACTGGCTGAAAGCAGGGGTCATAATGGTCTCAGGTTTTGTATGGTCAGAGATGTTAAATTATGTTTACTTCCAAAGTAGCACCAAATCCTCAGTGGGCAGAACACAAAGCCAGTGATTGATTTTAAGCAGATTGCTAAGTGAAGAATATGGATACACACAGATTGATGTTGAATGATTGAAGCTAGCATTCATATTCTATTTAAAATATCAAGTTATTAGCTCCTCTTTCATAGATAATCTCTGTGAAGATTGGTTAAATTCAGGCATTCATTTTTAACAGCTCCCCTGGCTTACTTGCATCGATATTTTTGAAATTTTATTCTTTTGTCCGCTATATGGTTTTACTGCTTTTGCCTTGGACGATCAAGTGACGACATTCTGAGGCTGTTTTCAAAGGACTTAATCCCATTTGTTAACAGTGTAGTTGAAACTCAAGTTCCTTTGGAATTAAACCCTGTTAGTGCCATGCTAGATCATGATTTGATAGGAACAATACCAATTAACACGTGCTCAAATATTTTGTTGTGTATCTGCATAAAACGAGACCTTATACAAAACAGTATCATGCTGTGTTCAACCATGACAGGCAGAGCAGCAAGGTCATTATGCCTCCAGTGGCTTCCAAACTTAAGCCGTTTTCACATAAGCACTTCAGGAGGAGCCAAACAGCAAACAGCTGAATATTTCTCTTGGACTTCATCCGGGGTTTCTCCTGCCAGACCCCTAGTATTTTGTCCAAAGATACAAAGAATTTTAAATGTTTGAATCCTTCTTCTGCTATCACAGTAACAATTGTGACCAGATTTTTTGTTTGACCACATGGTCCCGCCTCTTTTGTAATGAAACCTGACATGATCTTCTGCTGCAGACTGCTGAGCAATAAGCATTCATCTGCTATCTGGTATTGTTGTTTTTATCTGTTTGTGACATTCTGGAGTCTGACAACAGCTTGATCACCATGCCTTATTTGCTTAATCATGTTTTGTATATTGTATTGTGATCCTCAGTTGTAGGATTAACTCAACTTTATGCCCAGTTGTGTTGAGTGCTCTATTCCAGCATCTTTATCCATATGTGACTCACAGCCTTTATTTATCCAGTATGTGACTGCGAGCTGTTTGCGTAAATGTGGAGGCGTATCTAATCAAGTGGATTGTGAGTGCATATCTCAGATTTACGTACGTATCTGAAAGAGTGTCTCTGCAATGGGATTCAGAGTGAAGCCTTCAGAGAATGCTGCTCGCTGGCTTGTGTTCTCTTCAAAACCAAGTCGAGCTGTTTTGTCCATCAGCCTAACCGGAGAGAGACATCCCTGCGAGGGATGAAGAGAGGAATGAATGATGAGGATGGAGACAAAACAGACTAGTCTGCATATTTTTAGCTCTAACTGGGAAAAGATGTGAAAAGAGAAAATAAAATGCATAGACTCCTACTATATTCCACGGTGAGATTCCCAAGCTGCAGCGACCTCATTTGTAAATAGATATCTCACTATTTCATCAGTAAAGTGGATGTGTAACTGAGCTGAAATAAAACGAGCTAATTAGGATTTAAGCTAAATCTGATCAAATGCAATCCAAAAGCATCAAATTGAAAACAATTGATTCTCAAACGAACTGATCTGAAGCTTTACTGAGGGTGACTGACACCGGGAGCCACTTAATTTCAGAAAGAGTCTTTCCAAAAGAAGAAACGGAGCAGGTTTCCGCAGTTAAAGCCACCATCTGAGACAGATTGTATCCACAAACGACACAAGTAAGGGCAAGTTTCACCTTCACTCTTCTGGCCTTTCTCTTTTCTCCTTCTCTTTGAGTTATTCTTTTCAGCACAACCAAGTGAAAATGCACACTCAGCTCAGGTACCATTAACACACCACTAGACATGTTCTAGAGAAAAAGCAGCTCCTCTACATTTTCTTGTCTGACAACGTCACACTCATTCAAGCCATTATTTCCTCTTCCTTTTCTCTGCTGACAGAGTAAGTCTCTCTGGAGCACAAGTCCATTTGCTTACAAAACATGAGTGGCCAAGTTTTTCCACCTGTCCTGTGCGCAACTTGGCTTGACTTATCGAGTAGCTGACGCTGATCGCCTGAAGCCATCTTCTCTTTCTCTGGAGTGCTGGATGGTAAACCCACCTCATTTGGTCATTGTGAAGAAAGGGGATTGGGTTTTATTGTTGGCGAAGCTTTGTGTACAGGTGTTTCTCTGGCCTCAGATGGCTTTCAGTTTCTGCAGATTTATTCTGTGAGGTTTAAGGCCTGTGGGGGGGGGCTAGGTTTTTACGGCTGTATTTCCTGCCAGTGCTGGACTTTAATCTAACATAGAGATTTCTGCTTAGAGCTTCTATAGGACTCATTAGAGAGCCCTTTACTTGCACAGCAGCCTCTTTTGGACAGCAGAGTGTGCATCACTGTGAGTGTGTGTGTGTGTGCGGTTTTGTGTGCACATGCCCAAGTATACCTGGTGTAAGAGTCTGAGTGCTCCACCTGTTCCCACTCACTGAAGCATTAGCGGATGTGCATGTGTGCACTGGAAGGGCATTTAACTCACAACTACTCTCAGATGAGTGATAAAACCGTGCAGGATAGGATGCAGCAGCCACACCTCCCACTGTGCGATAGCTCCACCTGCTGGATCAGCTCCACTCACCTGACCAAAAGGAATGCATCCATGAGAGCTCTTACCTATTAGATTCCTACAGCCATCTGGTGCTGTTTCTAGGTTAATGTATATAACTGAATCTAAATGAGTGTGCACAGAGACGCATTCATATGAGGCTCTTTTTACTGAGAGCTCTAGGAAGTTAGATGGTATTGATAATTCATTATGAGTCTAATAAAAGGGCAGCCAGTATTGAGTTTTCATTAATAGAATGGTTTGGTGCAGATTAACATGTCTGTGCACTTCGTAATGACTTGGAGAGATGCTAAATGACTCCAGCTGTGTGTTTCAACTGGCCTCAGTGGTTTGACTGATCAATCAACAATCAACCGCATCCCTCACGACTGGAGAAAAAAAAAAAAGAGTGGGAGGGAGAGAGGAGATCTCGAGATACAGAGACGCGGGCAGAAAGACAGACAGAGAGATAGACGGATAAGGAGCAGACAGGCTGAGAACACTGAGCAACCAAGATGTGATGAGAAAGATAGCAAGAGATCAAAAGAATCCCAGAATGGGAGATAACAAAGAGAACAGAGGAAACAGAGTGAAGAAAAAAGTCCAAGAAATTTAAAAAAAAAAAAAAAAAAAAAAAAGCAAAGGGGCAGGCACATGAAAAGGAAGCAATAACTCCCACATCGACACCTTCAAGACCTCTTCCTGTGTGTTCTCGTTCCTTCCGGGCGGTCTTTGACGCCAGCGCCACTGGCCTTAAAGTCGTCAGAAATTATGACCCCAGGGTGAGCACAGCAGAATGCGTGACCCTTGGATAAATACTGCAAAACTAGCCAAGCTACAAACTAGCATTTAACTATCAATAGGACCCATTGTGGGGGCTGGACAAATGCAGCAAGCTCTGTGCACAGAACACTGGCCTGTCCTTGACGTCCGTTCTCTCTCCCTCGCTCTCTCTCTCTCTTTGCTGTAACATAATGGAGGTTTGAGCAAAACGGATTAATAGAGAAAGAGACCACAAAGCAGATAGGCTTAGGCTGACAGGACAGAAACACACACACACACACACACACACACACACACACACACACACACACACACACACACACACACACACACTCAATTTCCAGTGGTGAGTCTGGGGACTGATTGAACTTTCAGCACCATGGACAGCGTCACAGTGTTCGGATGTGGATATTCTCTTTGTTTTTTTACTTGTGTTCATACAAAGCCTCATGTTTGATGGTGTTTCTGTTTTGTTTTTTTTTCCATTGTAATATTGCAGTTTGTGTTGCAGCATGCTCTGGCTTAACTCCCCCTCACTGTAACTGAACTAAATAAGGCCAGTGCACCTCCCTGTTTTATCAGCAGCTCTGTGGTGCAGCTTAAAGTGGCTGTGCCTCCATTAAAATGAGTGATGATCCAGGTCTGTTCCCGCAGCGGAAAGTCAAGACTTTTAGGCAATAATGGATAGGCCTTTTACATACTTGCTATCCTTCCCTGCAACATTGTGTGTGTGTGTGCGTGTGCGTGCGTGTGTGCATGCGTGCGTGCGTGCGTGCGTGCGTGCGTGCGTGCGTGCGTGCGTGTGTGTGTGCGATTGCTGTTTACTATTTGTTATTGAACAAATGAGGTGTTCCAATTCCATTCTAGTACTTCTTTTGTTCCAGCGAGCTGTGAACCTGGCCTGTTACATTTGAATGATTTTCATCCATGCATTCACTTATAATGACTCACTATGTCACTTGTATGTGTCAAAATGAGTATGTTTCTTATTTTTTCTCACAACAGAAAGTTTCCCAGTACACCATCATCGTCCAGGCAACAGACATGGAGGGCAACTTGAACTTTGGCTTGTCCAACACAGCCACAGCCCTTATCAGCATCACCGACATCAACGACAATCCCCCGGAGCTGACGGTCAGAACGGTAAGTGTGCATAGCTAAGATGTTTCCAGGTGCAGAATGATACAGCCTTTTCAGCAGTCAAGGTGGAAGAATAAAACACCAGCCATCCTCCCTCATTCCTGAAATGTACTCCCCATGTAAAGCATACAGAGACCGAACTATACCAAACACCACACCTGAGTATTTGGCCCTTTATATGTCACTCTCATCATTCCTTACAGTTTTTTCAACTGTTTTAAAGAGCCACCTAATGTTTCATATAGCACATGAAGGTAGGTTGTTCTCAGGTGATGGTGTTTTCTTATTCAAATATAATCTAACCCCTGTGAGAGACAACAATCATTAATATAAGAATATATGTCATCTGGTCCCTGTGGAAAAACAAAAATATGAATATTAGAAAAAAATATTACCTTGTCCCTGCGACAGATTACAATCCTACAATATTAACTAAAAAGTTATTTGTTTTCAGAGAACATGGAGATGAAGGGAGGTCATATCAAACAGCTGAGAATGATGTAGGATAAGGACTGTGAGAATATATAATACAAAAAAAAACAGCAACAGATAATGAAAAAGTGCAAGAAAAACCTAGGTAGAGACAGGAGGAGGCATTGTTACTGAAAGTTAAAGATCAGTTTTAGTGAAGGGAGATGTACTCCCTCCCTCCCTCTTTGCTTCTTTGTATTTTCCGTGCCAGCAGGGCCTCTGGTGGTCTGGTTTTGTCTACAGGCATCTGGCCCTTGTCCCTGTTACCTTCACATTGGTCTGACAGGTAGTCACGCTACAGCACACTTTACTGTTGTAGTGTTTGTGTTCAGGTAGGGAGCTGTTTCTTTTTTTGAGCCAGGGTTGAGAGAAGTTATGGATGAAGAGACAGAAACTTAAGTAAATCTTTTTTTTTTTTTTGGTATCTTTCCACATACATAGCTTCCAAACTTTTTTTTTCAGAATCTGGTCAGAACAGAATCAGATACTGTAGCCCCTCTTTATACGAGAGCTTGAGTTTCTCAGATTCCAAAGAGAGACCGATGCCATCTGCAGACGAGCTCAGTCGCAGAAGCAGCAGTGTGTCAGCGTCACACACTGTGATCCCCGTCTCCTCCGCGGGGCTGTCGGCAGCGTGCATGCCAGTACAGTTCCAGCCGCGTGCTCTGATAAGAGTTCCCCAGCTGTCGGATGTGGGGGGGGGGGTGCTCACAGAACAAGCTGCAGGTCCGCTCAGAACTGCTCTGTCCCTCTGTCTGTGGTATTGGCTCGATCAATGTCTTCAAGTCTCCGTCTTGGGGTGGAGCTCAGACCGGAGTCTATCCTTGACAAACACAACACGACAACTTGCACTTTGACATGTTTGTCCACATGCTCTGCTAAATGCATGTTATCTCTTTGGACTGCATTTCTCTGCCTTTAATCCTCCTGAATGTATGACTGCAGCTTTGACTGAGTAGCAAAGGAGCAGCTGACCATGTTTTTCAGCATGATTCAGCCATAGCAATAAGTCAAAATGAATAAAGATGTGTTTTGGTTGTTAGCCCCTTACTTAGACACAAACAAAACACATGCTCTCCTCCAGATGTCTTTTCCACTGTTTGTCAATCTCTACTTTTTGTTTTGCTTCCCACACATGCAACTCAACTCTGAGTGCTTTGGTAATTATTTGTGCATGACAGACGCGAGAAGAATTCATTGCTCTCCACGGGAAGCATCGAGAAAACATAAGCACGCTAATTAAGTGAAATTGCTTGCAGGGGCGTAAACCAAGCTCGTATATAGAATGTAATTTGAAAAAAAAAAACAACAAATGTATTATTCATATCACCACATGGGCCCAGATGCACCATGTAGGTGCTTTGTTCTTCATTAGAAGACAACCAAATATCAGACTGCTGTCCACAATCTATCTAATAAAGCTAACTAATCAAGTGTATCATACTGTTGCTTTAGTGTTCCCAAAGGTTTTCATTCCCTAAAATACAATTACAAGCAGGAGAGTTTCTTGGAAGACTTGTGAGGTTGAAAGATTGAACTCAGAGACACACCAGCGTACGGATCTAAATGAAGGCTGAGTGCTATTGTGAACCTGTAGAGCTGCAGCCTGAGACACAGAAAAGAATTGGAGTGCCATTCACTACTTTCTTCTGCTTCCCCACTCTTTGACTTTGATTCGTGCTGCAAGAAAAAGCGTCGACCTTATCGCACAGTCAGCCTAAGTAGACTGAATTTAGTCTGATATTAGTGCAATTTTGTTACATTTATTCATATGTAATGTTGTTATAACCATTTTGTGTTGTTTGCAACTCCCCGTGCAGGGAAGGAAGAGCTCATTTAGTCTTGTTTAGCCGTAGTGCTGTAGTCTGAAATGGAACATTTTCATTTGCTGAGTCAATTTTCAGGATGAAGGTGGTAGATTTCCCCTGGTGGGCAGAGCACAGAGAGGAAGGTTTATTTTCTAAAATGATGTGGGGTCTGTACAGCTCCACAGAGCCACTAACATCTCCTGGTTTGACTGCAGATAGTAACTACAGATAGGCTTAATGGTGAAAAACATCAATTCAACATCAACCAAAGTCCTCAGGGTATTTGTAGGAGCTATAGTTCTTTGTTGACCTTAAGACATGTGCTATGACTGACATAGAGCCTTGTAAAAAAAAAAACCTTGAATGTGTAAATGGTGATGCTTATTTTCTGAATTGTTTAAATATAGAAGTCATTTTCTTCACTGAGTCAAAAACCGTTGGAGTAATGACCTGCCTTAAGTACCTTCAAATAGTTTATACAACTTGTTTTACAGGATTTTTTTTCTTTTTTTTTACTTTTTACAAACGTGAATTCAAAGCAATCAAAAGGCAATCAAAGGTAAGAAAGGAGATAGAGAGTTGATGAAGTTGATCTCTTTCCTGTACTTATTGGCTTCATTCAGAGAGGTTTTAAACCTTGAAAGAATCTTGAAGAGATCATCATTATCTCTCTGGTAAAGGAAATATTATTTACTCTTGATAAAAGATTTGTTTCTTCCTTTTTTAAAGCTTAAAGATAAAAAAAAAAAAAAAAAAAACTGCAGAAATAGACACAATTAGAATGTTGTTGCAAAGAAAAGACAGCTTAGCCGGTTAGCCGGAACTTGTGTTGGCCTATTTTAACCAAATCTATAAATGTGGATGAGCAATCATTGTAACTAGAGGTCATTTAGACAAACTGATAAACGTCGAGGCCTGTAAATGTGATGTGTTCACTGCATTAAATTCATGCACACGTCTTGTTTGGATAGAGTGAACATGTACTCTACTTACTCAGTCATTTACAAATCTTTGAACTGCATTGACTTCAACTTTTTCAATCAGCAAAGTGATTCTTGATTCCCAAAAATATCACTCACTTATCGCTTCATTGTCTCAGGGCCGTTGTTACGCAGTTTGCTTTAATGCAAAAACAGTTCCTGCTTAGCATCTTAAACAATTGAGTTCTAGAAATGTGTTAACACAATCAACACATAACTTTATTCCAGAGGTTTTGTTTTGAATTCCTAATGTTTTTACAATCTCATATCTTCAGATTTTCTCTAAAAAAAATAATATGTATATATAGGACAGCAGAGAGATAGGAAATGTTGGGAGGAGAGAGGTCGGGGGATGTCATGCAGCAAAAGGCCAAGTTCGGATTCGAACCCATGGCCGCTGCAATGAGGACTTTAGCCTCCGTGCATTGGGGGCACAACATAACCGCTAGGTCTTCTGGCACCCCATTTTTAAAGGTTTAACAAGAAAAGCGCATAATGTTTATGTAACTCTATAAAACCAGAATCTGCAATTCAAGAAAAATATTTTGTGGCAGCTCAATTTAGGTTTATTTGATTCTTTTTATGTTTGTCTCATTTGATTTTTATATTCACTGACAAAGTAGATTGAGATCCAGTTTGACAATTGAATCGTATTTCCCCCTCTCATTTTTTTCTCTGTTCTGTAACAACAAAATCCTGCAGAAACTCAAAGTCTGTGTATCAATGAATCCACATTGCATATTGGAGAAAGTGGCCATTTTGGACACACATCAGTCAGCACCTCGTGCAGGTCTCTTAGAGAACATATTCCATTTGGCTCAACAAGCTGGGTAGGTTGGTGTTGTTGTTTTGTGCAAAGGCTCAGGGTAAAAATGAAATGGAGGAGCCCACACTGCAGGAACTGAGAGTGCATATTTAATTTGTTTTGTGCTTATCAGCCTGGTCATACTGCAGGGAATAGGAGGAGAGGGGGCAAGGAGGGAGGGGAAAAATGAGAGGAGAAGAACTGAGTGGCTTGGACACTGCTTCAATCCCAGGATGATGAAACCATTAAAGTGAACAGCAGCTGGCAGACACTCATCATAAACAAGTTAACACTTCACAAGAGGAAACAAGGATTATCTTCTGACAATAAGAGATTTTAGAGAGAGTGTTTGTGTGCAGGGGGGTTTGGGTTGGGGGTGTAGGTCTGTGTCTTCCTTTGAGTGCCAGATAAGGCCAAATAGAGAAGGACATGTATCCCTCTTCACTGTAAAACCTTCTTCTTCGGGCTCTGCAGCTGTCACAGAGTTTCCTCCAGAGTTACTTCAGAGGGGAGTTGTTTTAGATTGCAAAATAATGAAGATCATTAGTCAAAGATTATTCCTGCCGCAGCCTTAATTACAGTACTTATCTAATTGCTTATTAAGACTTAGATTTGGTGAATGCACAGAATCTCATTTAAATGAGTAAACAGTTAATTGAACAAATCCATTAGTTAAAATAAAGAGTTTCATGCGAGCAGACATAGAAGAGAATAAGGGACAGCATTAGCATAATGGAAGCTATGATTCTCTATTAACCAAGTTTAAACCAATATTTTTCCTTTTTTTCCTTCCTTTCCCATCTCTGTCATTTGCTCCCTATTTGTTTTGCTCCTTTGAATTCCTGTTTCAATATAATGAGCGTTATGGGCATGATCCTAAAAGCAGTTTGTTTTCATAATAACAATTAAATAAAATGCTCTAAGATCGATGATTGCACAAGCAAAAGTTTGAATCTCAATAAATCAACTTATTATCATCCATCAGCCTTCTGCTGGGAACGTCGGCTTAATGTTATCTCCTCCATCCTCCCCTCTATCCCCTTCCCCCTCCCTCCCTCCCTGCTCTGTAGTTTTCAGGGGAGGTGCCAGAGAATAAGGTGAACGTGGTGGTAACAAACCTGACCGTGGTGGACAGGGATCAACCCCACAGTCCAAACTGGAACGCTGTGTACCGCATCGTCAGTGGAGACCCCTCTGGACACTTTACCATCCGCACCAACCCCATCACCAACGAGGGCATGCTGACGGTTGTTAAGGTAAAAAATAAAATAAAAATGACGCCGCACATTTGGCTCTCTGGAAACATCCTGATTACTCATATTTCACTTTGTCCAAATAAAAAGGACAGTTATTTGCCATCAATATTCAACACCTGTGGACTCCACCTGTTCTAAAGTGCCAAATGCTGATGACTGAGTACTTTGCTCTCACATTGTTTTCTCTGAATACCGTCATTTATCAAATTGGAACACAGTTAGAACTAATCTTGCAATCAGCGACTCTCCTTTTCCTCTCATCCCTCATCATTCTGTATACCCCTTTCTCTCTTCTCTCTCCACTCATCGGCTCTCAACCAGCCTGTGGATTTTGAGCTGAATCGTGCCTTCATGCTGACTGTGGTGGTGTCCAACCAGGCCCACCTGGCCAGTGGCATCCAGTCCTCGCTTCAATCCACAGCCGGAGTCACCATCTCAGTTCAGGATGTGAACGAGCCGCCTGTCTTCCCTGTCAACCCAAAGATGATCCGCTTTGAGGAAGGCGTGCCGGCAGGAACCACGCTCACTGTGTTTGCTGCTCAGGACCCTGACCACTTCATCCACCAGATTGTCAGGTACTTTAAAGGGCACCAGCAAACAGCTCCTTTTGTTGCCTGAAAAATGTTAAACGAGACTACTGGGACTGGGCAAAAACAGTTTAGCTGGAGATGGTAAAAAAAAAAATACAATATTGTGGAGGACACTACTGAGTAAAAGATAATACAATGTAATACTTTTAATTTGTGTTTAATTTTTAATTTTTTTTCTTATCTATTTTTCATCGTGGGTGTTTGAATTATGACTTTTATTATAAATGTTCACAGCATTCAAGGAAACTCATTACATTGATTGACAGTCAAATAAAGAGAAAGGGAATTATCTTAGAAATGATAAACAAGGCTGCTTAATTGAGAAATGGCATTGGTAAGAAAATGAACAAGCGTAATAAAAAATGTAGATTGGAGAACATAACCTTTTTGATGACCTACCATTAAGTTATTTGTTCTATGTCAAAGTGGATTATTCCTTTTTCAGACATCATGCTGCCAGTTGCATTCTTCATTGATTTATTCCAAACAAACATCTGATGTATGATTTCTTTTATGAGCTCCTCTGACGGCCAAATGCGGTTTAGTTTAATATAATTACAAATTATTAAAAGCTTCACAATCCACCATTTCTCCAAAGGAACCATTTGTACTCTGATGTCACTCTCATGGTGAGAAGCTTGGATGTTGTCATAATGTTAGACTGCTTTTTTATTTCCTGCTTTTCTTTGAATTAATTAATATGCAACTTAAAAGGAGAAAATCTGAAGGACCATGGAGCAACATCATTTGGTGAAATAACATTAACGTTATAACAACCACTTCCGAGTCCGCGTTTAGGTTTGACATTGTGACTAGAAGAGTTAGGGTGACCATATTGTCAAATCTTCACCTCGGGACACAAACCCACATGTATCAAACTGGTCACACAAGGTGGTGTAAAGGTAAATGTGCCCTCTTGAGCAGCTCGCTTAAGTTGGTTGTCACAGCGTTTGCTTCACTAAAGTAGATCCAAACAGTTCTACTCACAGCCTGTACACACCGATTGTGTTTGCTTGTTTTACAGTAATATAAAGGACGCTGTAACTCTCCTGGTGCTCTTTGGAAAACACCGACTTCCTTTCAGCCTTTGACTCTTGGTGATGTTTTTCTATTGGTTTAAAGAGCAGCAGCCTTAATAATGGCATGGATTGAAATATTTACAGACAAATCAATGTTGTAAGCATGGTTTATTGTTATTGTTGGTTAGAACCTGGGCAGTGAATGTTCAAAACCGTGTTTAATAGATATTTGGTCACCCTAGTCTAACAGTAAGGTTAGCTTGCTAAAGATAATGTTGGCTAGCTAATAACAATGTTAGATAGCTAATAGTAATGTCATCTGGGATGTAATTGGTTGTTAAATCTGTAGGGACTAATCTGTTGATAGCTAATAAGTAGTTCACCTTAAAATTGTCCTGATTATCACGATCCACTGACTTTTCAGTTGTTTGTTTTTTTAGTAACAGTGTAATGGAAACTGCTTTTAATGCCATGCGTTTATTTTTCCATGTTTCAGACTTCTACTACAGAGATATTCCTTTCTAAAATATATATGCTTCCAAACCCAAGCACACAGTTACAGAAAAATTACCGATTTATTTCACAGTTGTCTTCTGTGACATTTTCACCAGACCCCCCCTCCGCCCTGTCCCAGCCTCAGCCAAGGCTTTATTTACCTCCCTGTTGCCAGGTGATGGGCTTGGAGAGGTCATCCTGTAATGAGTTGGACACTGTCTGTCTGCCCTACTAGATACCTATCTCCTTCTTCTCTTTCTCTTCATTGATCCCTCCTTCCATCCTTGCTAACTGGAATGACACACAGCGGGCATCTTGCCACCCAGGCATCGACCCTGTGTGATGTAAACTCCCACATGCCCACTGAGGTCCAGCGCCACCGTTCTGCTCCATCGCCAGCTCCAACGAGAGAGATTGATTTTTCTTAATGTCAGTGAGACGGCCTCTTCCACCGAGGAACCCAGTGGAAATGTAACTGCTTGAATGCCAAAGAGGCAATGGGAGATGCATTTCTATATACTGTGAGAATTATCCACATCTCAGCTTTCTTCTAAAAACACATGTCATGCAAACTAAGTTGGCTGAGTTCTTCTGCCCTTAGAGAGAAGTAACTCCCCTGTTACTCTCTTTTCTCTCATCCCTCCCCCTGACCCTGTCACTTTCTTGCTTGTGTGTCTGTGGGCTTTTTTATTGATGGAACCTCAGAGCTGCTGTCTGCTCCAAAGCGGCTTGCCAGCAGACGCTCAGCTCATGCTCAGACAGCTCACCTCTTCTCTGCTGCTGCTTTATTCCCTTCTGGTGACCTCGCTTGTGCCCTAAAGCACACAGAAAAGACACAGAAATGCACAACTGTAGACTCACAAAAGTACGCCTACTTGCACACGCTCACCAAGTGAAAGGCCTGTGCATGAGCAGTGGGAGACGAGCCAATTTTGTTTTTTATGAATTTCTCTCTTTTTTTTCTCCGTCACTTGTGGCCTAGCCTTTTTGTCAGCCTACTTTACTCTGACTAGAAATTGGATTTATTTGAAAGCAAGTGGCTATTTTTTGTTTTTGTGTGCTTGTGTGTGTATATTTCTGTGTTTCGCAGCTTTTATCGTTCAAAAGACAATCCAGCTGTTGAGTAATGCCCTTCCATGTAGTTGGGAGACTCACGAGACACAAATTAAGGCACAAATGAATTGTCATGTTTGAAGCAACACCAGTTGACATTTTCACAAGGCGTACACAGCCTGATTAGCACGTTTGAAGAGCAGAATAGATTCATGTACTTCCTTCCGAAGCTCTTTGTCTTTGTCTCAAGTGAGGGTCGAATCCAGAGAAGGTTGACTCTGGAAATGCCACAATGCACTTCAGTAGTATCTTTCATATTTGCATTCTAAAGCACGCTTCTTTCAAACCCTGCTCATGCAAGACATGTGTGAAATATTCTAAGAGGGATGAGAAAAGCTAACTTAATATTTCAAAACATCTTTTTATGGAAAATATTTAGTAGTGAATTAAGATTGAGGCATAATGTCATTGAGGGTTTGAATAAGGCTTTGTATTTATCCTATTTATTTAGAGTCCTATTTAGACTTTTCTGATGTGTTTTAAAAATTATAACGGCTATAGCAGGAATCACTTTTTCTTCTTTCTCTCACCTTTAATGTGCATATGTTGAAAGTACATAAAGTAACAGGAATTACTTGAAGCATTTTGTAGTATACCAAATAAGGATCTATTTCATATTTAATTAATTAAGGCAAGAACAACATAGCAGTACATATACTTTGTTTCACAGACGTCCCCTGCAGACAAGGATATTTTCAGTATTGTCTATATTCTGTAAAGTTATAGTCTGTCATACACTGTTAAAGTCTTCCTATAGGCCTGATGAGTATGACAAAATAATATGAATTGACTTTCAAACAGACTTTGGTAGTGTTTATTCAAAAGAATTGAAGATACAAAGAATCTGGTATCTATTATATAGAATTATGTTTTCCAGCTCTCTGAGACCACCAACAGAATGAACTCCTCAATCACTTCTCGAGGACTTCTTTCATCTATTCAAGCTTTTTTTTTTATTTGAGAAGCATCATTTAAGCATCAAAAAAGACAGATTAAGATTTTTCTAGCAGTCAAAGGTACCACGGATACCACTTGGATCTAAAATGTAATTTTATGGTCAAGATTTATAGCAGACCCCAATCAGCATAGTAAGACACTTGATTTACTGTGCTGTCTGCAAATGAAGAAAACAGGAGTCGACATCTTGTTGGCACTGAAAAGAGGTGAGAATGCCAGACATGACACGTAAGCACCAAAATCATACCTGCAGGGCAACAGATCCTCTTACACTGCATGGCAAGCTCTTTTAACAGACATTTTATGTTATTTAAAGTCTTTAAATGACAAATGCAAAATAAAATATGATGGAGAGCATAACTGTAAGTCAGCATGTCCTTCTGTCAGTCTTTTTACAAACTAATCTCAAAGTAAGTGTCTTTAGTTAAAGTTGGAACTTGTGTTCATGCCTGTGAGGCCGTGGCTAAGCAGTGTCAGCCTCCAACGCACTGCTATAATTAAGTCTCCTTCTCTCATTGTCACATTTTCTTCTGACAGTACCAACAGCAGATCCCTCTCTAGCCCTTGAAGCTATCAGCTTGTGTGTCTAACCCCCACCTTGCCTTCATTTATGTGACCCACTGACCATCCACCCACAGGTGAGACTTCTCGTTTTCTCGGTGTCCGCAATTAACCAGCGGAGCGAGAAGCACTTCCTCCACTCTGTCAGTAGTTAGGACTCGTCATAGTTGTTAAGGAGACTAACAGACTTTAATTAAACCTGCCACTTCCTCTGCATCGGTGTCACGACAGGTGACATCACAGAGAGTTGTTGTGGTGGATGTGTGGGTTTACAGAGAGGTGGTGTTGTTAAGAGTGCTTCTTAGCTGTTCTGCAGATGGGTTCAGGTTTTCATCGGTCTTCATGCTAATGAGCAGCAGCTATGATAAGCTCAGCTCAGTGAACATATGTTCAGCTCTCCATGTTGCTGAAAAATATCAGAGGTGCTCGGCTGGTATTGCTTATTATGGTAATAAACATTCAACGTGATAATAGGAACTTTGGTACAACAAACAAAAGATTCAGAGCTGCTGGAATTCAAATAACACATGGCTGCTAGAGTTAATGTGTGGATTATGTTTCTGTGTGTTTTTGTTAATGAAGTGTTTGTCTTTCTCTCCATCTGTGTTTGTGTGGGTGTGTGTTTGTGTCTGTGTGAACAGGTACTCCAAGCTGTCTGACCCAGCTAACTGGCTAAAGATCAACAGGACCAATGGTCAGATCACCACCATGGCCCTGCTGGACAGAGAGTCCATGTATGTCAAAAACAACGTGTATGAGGCCACGTTCCTGGCATTCGACAATGGTAAGTCTGGTAAGTCTGAAATTCTGTATGTGTTTTAAATATGCGACAGTAGAAGCACCATTTAGCCGTTGACAGCATAATGCAATGGATGGCAATGTTGTTTAGACCACCGCTTTGGTCCAGACATAAATAGTTCAAAAAGAATTTGATGGATTCCCAGGAAATTCAGCGCTGACTTTGACTCTCCCTGTTTTGAAAAAAATATCTCAAGCAATATCAGATAGATTGTTGTGACATTTTGTTCCCCTGAGGATGATTTCAGTTTGATTTATAAAGTATGATTATGTAAACTTTGCATCAAAGAAAAACAGAAGTTATCTCAAATTATTCTACAGTATATGAACTTTAAGCACTTTGCAACAGTGGAGAGGAAACTTCCCTTTGACAGGAAGAAACTTTGAGCAGAACTGAGCTGTGGGAGGGCAGTCATCTGCCTTGACCAGATGGGTACAGAGACAGCACTAGAAAGTTAAACACAGTAATGATTGTAGTTAATGACTGATCATAAATCTAACAAAAATAATGAATTATATTAAAAATGATAATAAGACTACCAAAATTAATCCATTAAGCATCTGCTTTTGATCAGGAACATGAGGGCTGTAAGTGGTTACTATTACAGATTTATGCAGAGATAGCTGCAGAGTGAGGAAAAAAGGCAGAAAAAAGCTAAAAGAAAGAAGGTGCAAACTTAGAAACATACATGAATAAGATGAGAATGCATGTAGATGATGTGGGAGAGGAGAGGAGAAGCTCAGTGCTTCATGGGAAACCTGCCAATCAGGGAGTCAAAGCATATAGCAGCATAACTAAGGGATGGTTTAAAGCTAACCTGAGAAAATCCAACCCAACACCCTTTAGGAAAGAGGAACGTTTTAGCCTACATTTAAATGTGGAGTGTTGACTTATCGCTTTTTCAGCCCTTAGCTTATGACCAAATAAAAATGTAAAACATATAACTTCTCTGCAGTATAAGCCTAAGCCTCTCAGTTAGCATTAGAATGCAAACAGTAAACAGAGATTGTCAGACGGATGCCAAACATTGTCATTTAGCAAAGTTATTATTCTTTCTGTTCTTTCTCACTGTGAAATATTTGAATAAACAATATTTTAATCATCATTTGCAGGAAACAGTATGACGTCATTTTTTCATCAGCATGGACAGAGGATTAATGTATGATTCATTAACCTCAGTATTAAGAAAGCACACTGTGCTGTATGGGAGTATATATATGGGAGAAAATGGCAATTTAAAGGTCAAGCAGATGACAGGTTAGCTCCACTACACCCATTATGACTCAATGAAGTTCCCTTTTATTACACAGAATTAATAATAAACAGACTCAATTTTAAGAATAGAATTTGTGTAAGGAGAACATTTTCATCTTGACATTTCTTTCAGATACCATATTGTCTGTGTGAACTGTGAATGAGTAGGATGGTTTGTCCGTATGTTGTACTACACGTTGTATAATACATTCACTGACCTTCATTTCCTGGTTTCTGCCAGAAGGAAAATAATAAGAAATACCTGTCAATGGAGGTCTTGTTTATCAGCCCGAGGTGCTGCTACAATATACAAAGCTGAAGAACTGAAGCACTACAAGCAGAGGTGTTTGCTCTCGGTGTAGGTAGGAGGAATCCAGGTGATTTTACTCCAGTGAGAAATGAGAGATTGGTTGCCCCCAAGCACACCAACTTAAGCTCAAAGTGTTGACTGCCTATTGATTTCAGAGCCCAGTGTCAACAAGGGGATATATTCCACTTTGATTGAAATTCTCTTTACTTATTCCGCCGAAGCCAGCCGTATGAAGCAACAAATCACCAAGCCAATCATAACCGACAAGACGGTCGATGGGCCTTGGGGCTTCAGGCAACAGACCTTTACAGTTGATGCATCAAGTTACTGTCTCACAGAGGGAAAACGTTGAAATATAACAATGATGAGCTACAGGGTTAAACTCTTATCTACACTGCAGCGCATCAGAGTGCAGGGTGTTGTCAGTTTTCTTATCAAGGACATAATATATATCTACAGTGTGTTCAGCAGAGCAGTACACACACTGTTTATCTGTGGCTGGAGGTTGTTAGATTACAATCAGAGGTGGTATCACTGACAAATATTTGCAGTCGTCCTGCATTCATCATTGTTAACTAAAAAAAGTATTATAAGCAAGCTGTAGTAAGTAAGGTTAAGTGCCTTGCCCAAGAACACATGGGAAATGTGGCTGTAGGAGCTGGAGCTGGGGAGGGGAACCCCAAAGCTTACAGTCGAGGGACAACCGACTCTGTATTTCTTATCATACAATTGGTTGTAATGATAATTATCTGATCTCATCCACTGGTTTCATTTGAGTCATTCCAAAGAAATATTCATGACCACAGAGAGATAATAAACTCACATTGTTTTTTTGTTTCATTCAAGACACCACTATTGATGTTTTTCAGTCATTTGAAACCATATACTAGTGAAAATCAACACTCAGAAATTAGATTCCCATTTATGAATCATTCTCTTGCAGACCACTTCACATCTTTAAATATTTCTCTATGATATTTAAAGATTCATGACTCAACAAGCATCAATACGAGTTTAACTTGAGTCAAAAACATCCCTCTGTAATATTTATCAGAAGAGTTAAAAACTCCAAAACTCAGCTGCTTCACTGGGAATGTTTGAATGAGGTTTGATCAACTTTGACAGACAGTTGCCAGGCAACAACATTTAGTAACCTTAGATGTGTCATGTTATGATACGAGTGCTTATGAATTATGGCATTACTTCTTTCAAATTGACCCTGTCCAACACAGACCTATAAGATGACTGGAGTCAAAGCAGCAGATCATTTCTTATTATATGTATATACTCAATTCAATTCAATTCAAATAACTTTATTTGTCCCCGGGGGGCAATTCAAAGGCACACAGAGCAGTGAATTAACAACAGTGCAAGTAAACGAAACATTTTAACCTAAATATAAAGTGTCAATTTAAATACAACTTAAAGCTTGAACTTAACTCAAAAATACAAAATATAAAAGAGTAGATATAAGTGGACAGTGATCGGACTGACAGATGTAAACAGATGTAAACAGAACGATGTGCAGTAGTGACCAGATGTAAACAGAATTATGTGCAGTAAACGAGAAATAAATATATATATACAGAGTTATGTGCAAGTAGGCAAATACTAAATGATAAGTTAATAAGGTGCATGGTGAATAATGGAACAACAGAAGTAATATATACAATATAACTGTAAAGGTAAAAATGAGATAAATAAAGTGACCGTAGTGCAATGATGGACAAGAAACAACAGGAATAAAGTAACCAGAGCTGTATGAATACTGAAATATAAAGGATAGAATAAAGTGATGTAGTGCATGAGACCAGATTAAGCAGAGGCAGTTAAGGTGCATGGCACCTACTGTATATATTAACAGTTCCAACGTTGGCTTAATGTAAAGACATTGCTCAGAGTTAGCAGAAAAAATGCCTGTATATGAAAGTGTATTTTAACAGATACTGTCTCTATGATTTTTAGTCCAAGAGTTGAATGTTTAACCTCACACCAGAGTTCAGGCTCATTACAGATGTTTTCACTTCTGTTGTGTTGCGTTGACTGACTTGAATCTGACTTGAATCAGACCAACAAAACAAGTTCAAGTTCACTCTGCTCGTCGTTAAGCAAGCAGTGCACTAAAAAAACAATGAGACGCTTTTTCCCAGCACCATGTTGTACATCATCAACAGCAACAGAAACAGTGTGGCGGCAAAACAACATTTCTCAGTTGGTTAAGGTGCAGTCGAGTCAGTGTGTGCGCTGTAATCAGAGCACATTAGAGGATTTGCTGTTAATGCATAAAACATCAAACATGTGCCTCCCAGCCTGATGGCTCTGTTCTGGTCTGACAGTCATGAGAAACCCTGAATAAGTTATGATGAGCTTGTGTTGCTGGATACAGTGTAGGGTTAGCGTTTGAGTCATTTCCCAGGGGCTTTGCAGAGTGCAGATAGCAGCAATCTTTATGTGAGTGTTGTCGCTTCGCCTCAGACTGTTCGGAAAGCAGACAGTTTTAAACACGAGGGCTGAAAAAGGTATGTGTGCTTTTATCGGTTTTGGCTGTTTTGTTTGTTTGCTCTACCATAAATGTACACAGTGTCCTCCACTTTCAGCCCCACAGTAATCAAAACCTGTTCTTCTCAATTGTGTCTTCGGCTGTACGCCTCATTTTCTCACCTCCACTCTTGAATCAACTCGAAAACGGTAATTGAAGTGGAAGGATTGTTTTGCCTTTCACTGTAGCCTTCTCCACACGTCTTACAACTCCACTTTTCAGCTTTTTGCGCCAATCGTTGTATCTCTACTCCTCTGCTTCACCCCCCCACTTGCTTGCTTCATTTATATTACCGTCTTTTCTCCTCTCTTCTCTTTTTCTCTGCCTCCCCTCAGGCTCGCCTCAAGCCAGTGGGACAGGAACTCTCCAGATCCACCTGATCGATGTGAACGACAACGCGCCGGTGCTGGTTCCCCGGGAGGCCCAAGTGTGCGAGCGTGCACGCCCAAACTCCAGGATCAACATCACAGCCTCCGACGCTGACGCCGACCCAAACGTTGGGCCCTTTGTCTTCGAGCTGCCTTCTTTTCCTGCCAGCGTCCGCCGCAACTGGACGATTTCCAGACTCAGCGGTAATTAAATGCTGCACTTTGTGTACACAGTGTTACAGTTCCTGTCACCTACCCTTGTGATGTAACATATAGGAGGTATGATATATGAACATGCTACATCCTCAGCTGAAATAAACCATACATTTACCAGATGGGATGCAAAAGCCCTCTGCAGAGTAACATCAATCAGGGGATGTGGGATTGCTGTAAGCTGTGAGAGAAGTCCAAGTTTAACAAAACGTCTCACAAAGCTCACAGTGAGCGACGCAGGTGCCATCCAGTGTTGACGTACGATCTATCCTTTTTGACAAATGAGATCCATTCATCTCTCTGTCCCCTGAGCACAGGATCTGTCACCTAATCCACTCAGATGGATGTATCACAGCAGTTGTCTGGAGGACAAATCTGATCTCATACCTGGATTCTTCTCCTGCTGAGGCTCTTGTCTCAGCTTGACTGAGTGATGGAAGAGAAATATATATTTAGTTCTTCTATATATCTCTAATGTGTCCTTACATGCTCGCACATCAGACTGATCGCTGTGTGGTTTGTTTGGCACCTTTTGTACGGTGTCATACCTGTGTATATGTTGACACAGAATCCTGCAGTAAATGAAATGTAATTCTCAGCAGTACACTGTCTAATCTTATTTGCCTGTCTTCTTCTTCTTCTTCTCCATAATGCCCCTCCCCTCTCTTCATTATTTTCTCTTCATCGTCAATACAATCCCTACCCCCTCTACCAGGTGACTATGCCCAGCTGAGGTTAAGGATTCCCTACCTGGAGGCGAGTGTTTACGAGATCCCCGTCATTGTGTCTGATTCAGGGAACCCTCCTCTGTCCAACCGCTCTCTGATCAGAATCAAAGTTTGTCCATGTGATGATAGCGGGGACTGCAGTGCCACCGGGGCCGTGGCAGCTGCCGGCCTAGGCACTGGGGCCATCATCGCCATACTCATCTGCATCATCATTCTGCTCAGTGAGTACTGACAGTGCTCTATGCACTTTGGATCAATGTATTAGCCTATACTTTACTTTATGAAAATGGCAAAATGTTGCTATAATAAAGCTACAACTTTAAGAGATCTTTACTCAGTGTGAGCTGGTCGTTATCATGTCTGTGTTGATTGTTGATTATTTATTTTTTGTGTGTGTTTTTCAGGCATGGTTCTGCTGTTTGTGGTTTGGATGAAGCGCAGAGAGAAGGAGCGGCAGGCAAAGCCCCTTCTGATCGACCCCGAGGACGACGTCAGAGACAACATCCTCAAGTATGATGAAGAGGGAGGAGGGGAGGAGGACCAGGTATGGTTTGAAGAGCAGATACTTTTTTTATTAGGAACCACGCCTTGAGTGATGTTCTTTGTCAAGAACTAGAAAAAAAAATTAAAATCCATTGAACAAAACTCTTCAGCCATATGTTTATTCAAAGGTGAAAAATTGTTGACCAAAATAAAACAAATAATCTTATAAGGCACTATCCTCAAAATCTCATTGAAGATTTTGTGAAGATTCCTAGAGACCTCAAAGTACCCTCTGAGGAAAAGTAACCTGGGTTTGATCTCTTTATGCTTTTTTTTAAAACAGCATGAGCATGTTCTGAACAGTTTCCTTCATATGAAGAGTTTGGTGCTGTTGTCATGCTCGGGTCTGGCCACTGTTTTGACCGTAATGACCACAGTTGGGGTGCAGCACATTTCTGCTAAACCTTGAGTAATATCAACTGTTCTGCTGAGTTTGACTTTGATCATTATGGAACAAGGATGTGTCAAAGTTTAGGTTTAGGTGCGCCAACAAAGATCAGTTTAATCTCAGTGGTTGAGCGGGTCGTCTGTTTACAGGAAGGTTGGCGCTTCAATCCGAGCTCCTGTAGTCCACATGTCTCGGTGTCATTGGGCGAAACACTGAAACTCAAATTGCTCTCGATGGCAAAATCAGCAGCGTGTGAATGTGTGTGAATGGGATTAATTAACACTGATGGGCACTCTACATAGCATCCCCTGCCATCAGTGTGTGAATGTGGCATGACAGGGTGAATGTGACATGTAGTGTAAAATCACTTTGAGCAGGCAGACTAGAAAAGCAATCCATTTACCATTCATCATATCAATATGGCCCCTTAAATATTTGGATGAAGGGTAACTGGACTGCACTTTTATGACATCTTTGTGTTCTCATTACTAATCAAATCTCTTTAAACTTAACGCTAGCATTCATCCTTTCACACAAACTACCAAACTGTCTATCAGTACTAATCTAATGACGTTCCAACACTTTCTAACACGGTGGTTATGCCTTCGGAAGCAATAAGTGATAGGTGTCTTACCAAAAGACATGTCGAGGCCGCAGGATTAAGGACGAAACCACCAATCAACTGATTAGAGAAGCATCAGCTGCCCCTTATATATATAAAAAGAAATGAACCATTGTAAATAAATACACAGTTAATACACCAATCAGGCCTGCTGAATTTAGAATGAAATGGTAATATCATGTCTTCCAGTATTTACTGAAATGACTGTGAGTGACAGAACACAGAAATGAGGAGTGCTTTGTTCAGCTGTTCTGCAGAAAGAGTCTGAAGAGAACAAAATGTCCTTTTTTAAAAAGTGAGTTAAACTTCAGGCTGCAGTCTGCCCTCTGTCTTCCAAACAAGCGCTCAGGACAAAAAGCTGCTTGGCTTTAACTCCACATGAAGTGTAACTCTTTCCATATGATTAGCTGGAAATCATTAGTTATTCTAATCCATAAATACTCTCTACATAAATATAAACCTTCAGCGATGTTCACCTCCAACATCTTTGATTAATTCAGAAATGCATTATTAATTTTGCCATTTTTGACACTTGCTATTTTGCGAACACCCACACTAGACATCTAGAGAATAAACACATGCCAGCATCAGATGGCTGCAGTGTACGTCGGCATATTTCCACTTTAAGGCACTACCACTGTTATCAGGGCAGAAATAAAGACACCTCAACAACCTGCTCCATTTACAGCACATAGTAACACACTTGAAAGACTTTCACATAAGAGTTGTAAGCTTGTATGTATTAACCACTGACGGTTCATTTGTTGTAAAGCAATTAGTTTAGATTTACAGAAATCAGCATTGAATATAGAATGAACAGCAGGCACATAGTCCAGTTAGAATAATTAGCACATGAATACGAGCAGCAGAAGTGTTTGTACATTTCTGAGAGTGACACCAGATGCATCGTGACATGTCAAGAAGTCAACTGCCTGTACAACAAACATGCTTTACAAAGAATGTGATGGTTAACTGTGAAGCTGATGTTTAATTATTGTTTATATTAATACTCATGGAATACAATAAATCATGACTTTAGTGTTATCTGAATATCAACATGTTTTTGTAGATGCTTTAACACTACTGATCATTTTAGACTTCCCATAACATCATTGTTTTTAACTAAAGAGAACTATGAATTGTGGGTATTTTCCTCAAGCAAAGACTAGGATGCGAAGCATTTTTAACTAACATCAGCAAAAATGTAAGGCTACACCTGTTATTGCATTGCATGTGTGATATCGCCAAGTCAGGTCTGTACCCAGGCAAACAAAAACTTCACTTCTTGCTGGTTTTCCACTATCTCTTAGCTAACTAAATTTTAAAGAGCTTTTCAACATTGTATAACATTAGCCACACGTTATACAAAGACGGTAAACTTATATGGCCTCATTATCGTTTGGAGTCACTTCTCTTACTGCCCAATCAGAACTTGATAAATTGTGATCAAATCAGCTTTTTTCTCTGCCTCACTTTAAGATGTCTTTACCACCTTTTTTTTACCACCGCACGGATTTCTCTAGATTCCCCACTGCTCAACAGTCTGATAGAGACAGATGTGTAGCAGTGATTTCTCTGCAGCTCAGTCTTGATCTGTCTTGTACTTCACAGTAAACAACATCAATCTGTGAGGGCAGACAATGGGAACAGGCTAAAGAACATCTATGTACCAACTGGCCACCTGAGTTGGACTCAGAAATGTTGTGTCTTTAAATACTCTCTCCATTGCCTTTTCTCAGGACTATGACCTGAGTCAGCTGCAGCAGCCCGAGTCCTTAGACCACATCATTAACAAGCCAGCAGGGGTGCGCAGGGTGGATGAGAGACCTGTGATTGCTGAGTCTCAGTACCCGGTCAGACCCAGTCTGCCCCATCCTGGAGACATAGGAGACTTCATTATTGATGTAAGTTCAACCAACAATGGAAGGAAAATTGTTTTTGTGTTGTTTCTAGAACTTCTTGTTGTTTTCACACATTTTGAATGCCATCTGTTTTATGTGACTCACCACTTCAGATTTAAAGGGTGAAAGATTTCCAAACAAAATACCAATATTACATTTTTTTTCCACAATTGTAATTCCCTAAGCAGGCATGCTCCTGAAAGTGTTTTGCTTTTTTACACAACTCAGTATCTGGTCCTGAAACATTATTCAGACCATGGAGGAGCAATAAAAGTGTAATGGTTGTGTGAGCAAGATGAGGCGTAGTTTATTGAAACATTTACAGTCCAGCAAACTGAACCTGACTGTATGAAACGTCATCACCTCTGCTACGTTCTGGGTGAACAGCAACAAAGGGCTTTACCCAGTTCTGCTGAGAGACCTACCTGATACAGTGTAGAAGTCTTACCACACAGAACAGGGTGTCAAAGGTAGAGGGAGTTCTGCACATCTTTCACATCCTCTGTACTCATTTCTGTATCTCCAGGGTCTGAGGGCGGCAGACAATGACCCCACAGCTCCCCCCTACGACTCCCTGCTGGTCTTTGACTACGAGGGCAGCGGTTCGACCGCCGGCTCTGTCAGCTCACTCAACTCCATCAGCTCAGGGGACCAGGACTACGACTACCTCAACGACTGGGGCCCTCGCTTCAAGAAGCTGGCCGACCTCTACGGAGGAGGGGACGATGACTGAGAGTGGAGAGGGGGGCTGGGTGGGGCTGTGGGAGGAACAGGAGAGGAAGGGGCGGAGAACATGACGCCGGCTCAAGGTTAGACATGTGAGGAACAGACCCTTAAACGGGCTCACAGCGGCCAAGCCCACAAACATGAATCCTGCTGCAATGCAACTGTATTCTGGCTTTATACTTTTTAGTGGCGAGTTTGTAGTGTGATGTTTTTTTTCTCTCTCTTTTTGTCGTTCTCTCACCGTGCTGGACCCGGAGGTCTCTGGGGATGAATCAAGGCGGTTGTGAGAGACAGGATAGTGAATTTGTGCTTTGATTGATTGTTAAAACAAAACCATCTCTTGCTTTAGTCTCACACTGAAGAGAATGTTTTTGGGACTCTGGCTCTCTCTTTCACTCTGTCGACTTGAATTTCCTTAGAACAGAAGCACTGTCTTTTTTATAAAGTGCCTTTTGTGGTGTGTTTTTGTATCAGACTCCTGCTATCTCAGGATCGGTTGCCATTCGTGCAGTGCAGTGGAGGCGCATTCTCTTGTCGCCCCCCCTGCGCTCCTCAAACCAGCCCTGCCTGTCTCTTTCCTCTGCTATCAGAGCGGTGCAGATCAACAACCCCAGCAGCCAGTCCCAGGAGGGAAGGACACAACCAGGGCAGACTACTGGATATTATAACCCAATGAATTATGGCCTAAAAAAGCCAACAGGAGTTGTTGTGGGGAAGACAACCCTCTTCTTCAAGGACCTGCTCAGTCAGACTTTCACAAGAATCACCTGTGGACACGCTGACATTGTGTGACAACGTTTTTATACATGTGGGGGTTTTCTAATTTAGTGGAGAATGCCTGCCTTTCCTCTCTGGACTCGTGAAGTAAGGAGCCTTTATGTTGAGACGCTTGCCTGCCCTGTATGGTTTTGTGTTGCTTTCTCCACAGTGTAAAGCTTATGTAGGCATGATCTGATTAGTCAGACAGTGTAAGAAAGTGGAGCCTTGAAATGCTCTGGAACAAAGGCATCGGAGGAGGATATTTTTTGTCGCCTTGAACATTCCTGTTTTTTATAGGCCAACAAAACTATTAAAGGTGCATGATTTTTTTTTTTTCAAAATGATTTACCGGTACTTTAAGCACTTGTTACTATGTGGTGAGAATGTGAAAATAGTCAACAGAAACTATATGAATATACTCTGTATAAAGACACTGAGAAAATAAAACACTGTAAGATACCTATTTTTGAAGTATTGATGACATTAAAGTTGCTGCTCTTTCTCCGGCTCATAGGTGAGTTTAGGGAAATTTTGGCCCGTTCATTTTTAACATCTGGATTTTATTTTCCTTTTGTTAAAATCATTTTTCATTTTTCAAAGATGCCTCCTTAAACATTTTTTGCTTCTATTATTTGGCATTGTTTTTTAGAAATGCTTTGTTATACTCCTTTTATATGTGACCCCCCCCCTCACTGTGTATTGTCTTTTGACAGATGTGTTCCTCCTGATGGCCGCTGGCCTCGGGACAGACAGCAGAGGGTTCATTAGCAATGCCTGCTGATAGTTGTTCTATTACTAAGTGTGTCCTCGAATAATTTTATTCATTCATCTAGAAACTGGATGTGTGCTTCAAAAAATAAACAAGACATGTTTTGAAAATGTGGCATCTGTTTTTTAAAATTCCCCCATTTATGTGCTGTAATGTGAGACATGGCCGACAAACACGATCTAATTGGAAGCTTTAAATCACAGCGACCTCTATGGGCCTCTGTGCGCCTGTTTTTAAGTTCATTTATTGCAGCTTTGCCCAGACTCCAAGCCACTATGTGTTCAATTGGAGCATTTCTGATGTGTGTTCTCTACAGCGGTCGTATCAAAGAAGATAGTTTGGCAGACAGCAGAGCATGCCTCTGGCCCCCTCCCACCCACATGGATCAGCCAGGGAAGACTAATGATGAATCATGAATGAAGCAACAGAGACTGCATCAGCTTCACCAGGATCAATTATTCTTAACACTTCTTATACCATCACACACTAGTTTGAATATGCTTTAATCAAATTAAAATGATAAGCATTGTGGCTTTACCTGTACTGCTATTTCACCTTTATTCTTTCATGAAAAAAATGGGTAAATATTTGGACACCAAACCACTCCACCGACTTTTTTTTTGACAGTATTTTTCAGTGTTGGTGGGTCCATTTGGAGCTACACAGTTCATCTCTGACCTTACTGTTTGGAAATGGTTACATTTTCTAATAAAGCTCCCAGTATTTGTCCTTTTATTGCTGCTCAGAAGAAATACTTGAAAATCATTATATGGGGTCAGGAAGTATATTTGTGTCCATTCCCGTGATTTCAATTAGTCAGCTGAGGCGCCAAAAAAAACCCACTGGGGACTTAAAGGGATTTAATCCTCTCTGGCTGTGTCGATCAATTAGCCACACCATTAATCCCCACGGCGTAATCTCATTAGATAGAGCGCCTTTAATGAGACACCCAGAGAGAAGGCAAAGAGGCAGGCAGGATGAGAGAGAGAGGGGGAGAAAAATGAGGTGGAGGCAGGATGCAGGTAGGCCATGTGGAGAGGTGATTAGTAGGATGGAAGAGCGGGTCAGCATCAGGAGGGGGGAGGGGGGGGTGCAAATGAATTGAGTTTCAAGCACAGCAGGGACAATGCATAACATTTAGAGAATACTTTGAAAAAGATGTTCCAGGAGAAAGGGAATTAGAGTGAAACTTGTCCACTTTGACCAAAAATGAGAGGAGTGGGCAATGAAGAGGTGATCAAAGCTAACGGTGTACACTGGAGTAGTTAATAAGGAGCGCTCTGATTCCTCATCTTCCTCTGAGTACCGCTGAGATGAGGAATGAGAGCTTCCGGTGATAAACCTAAGTTAACCTTTATTGTACTACAATAGTGGATTCTGCCACAGACTGAGCAGACCTAGCTTAATAAAGTGGCATCAGAGGTGGGGCTGCACTACTCGGAAATAATGATCAGGTTGGTAAAAGGTCACCTTCGTCATAGCTAGTCAGCGGCTAAAGAGATTGACTTCGAGAAAGGTTTCTTTGATGAGCTTAGCTGAAGTTCATTTGGTCTCACTGTGGCAGAAAGGCCGAGTGAAAGAAGAAAGCAGAAGAAAGCAGACTCAAGTTGCTCCCTTGATAAATGGCGTATATAGACTGAAAGCTCTGCTTCTGGCTCGCTGCCAGTGTCTTGTGTGTTGTAAATACAGTTCTCCTCTTCAAACATGTCCAAGCCTGGCTCTTTTCATTTCCTTTCCAGATAGCCAGTGAGTCTCTTGGGCTGGTGCTGGGAACGGTCCAATCTGAAAAACACCAGCGGATGTTGGTTCTGATGCTAGCTGTGTGAACTGTTCACTGTTTAGTGTTGATGGAGCTGTTCAATGAAGGCACCGCCCAGGCCAGGCTGCCTCAGCTGGCTACGTTTCTGCTGACACATCTCTCAGCCTCCTGCTATTTCAGGACTCCGTCTAAAATGAGATCAAAGCAGCAGAATAAATTTGATGTTCCTGCGGCAAGTGGGGGAGAGAATATCTACTGTTTAACAACCAGCCATTTATGATATGGATGACTGGTCGAGTGCAGGCTCTCTGCTATTACTGAGAGTGCTCACAACAGTCAGGACTGAAACACTGCCTGTGTTAATATCAAACAACATTTGAAAGAGCTTTTCCTGCTAATGATGATTGCATATTGTAGTGTGGAATCATATCAATACCCATAAATATTTTATTCCCCTATATTTATTCAACAGCTAGAGTTAATTGTTCACTCAGTGTATCTGTACACACTTGTACTCATAATAGTGTGTGTTGTTTTACAACAAATTACAAAGAGACTCAACTAGTATAGCAGTTTGTGTTAGTAAAGCAGAAATGCCAAGACTTGAAATACCAATCAGGAAAGCAAGCAGCAGCCCCAGGGTCTCCCACCCCTGTGGGCCCAAAAGCTCCAGCCTTACAGTGTGCAAGTTAGATAACCATGTATCTTTAAATTGCTTTATTTGTAACAATGTGACTTACTGCGTATAGCTTAAAAGTAACCAGAATGATCGATAACCAAGGTCACAGACAGACTTGCGGCTGTGACAGTGAACAACTTGAACCAGGTCAGTATCAGACCTGTGAAACTGAAGGGGCCTCATGAACCGAGCATTTTGTGTGAAATGTGTTGCCGTATTTTTATTGTCTTGCCATTTTTTTAAGATGAATTGCAATTTTTGTAATTATAAAAATGTCTTATCCATTTCATAAGTCCAAGGAGGAGCATCAGCCGCCATGCTGGAAATGCTCTTAGCCTAACTTTCAGTCAACCTAACGACAGGCTGAGAGCTGGAGCTGAGGCGGGTTTTCAGCCATTGCATCACGCCCATTTGTCAATCATGTCAGCTACGCGCCTAACTATGGATAACACGTATCGTTCATAGAATCAAAACAGAGTTTTTTTTTTAAATTCACAACCGTACAGTGTGTGCCATTGAGGACAAAAACTAATCAGACCAACTTCATTTTTTGAACCAGGCTGTAAACATGGTACGCTGGTATAGTGTAAAAACAGCTTTTTTTCCCCTGTTGTTTGTATGTGACTTCCGGGGTTCCCGGAAGAGCCTCAAACGGACACTCGACAAACTGCATGATTTTGCACTTCCACATTGGCTTCATTTTTCAAGCGTTTGCCGCTTGGTCCAAATACATGATGCATCAAAGTGTCGTGTACTTGGACCTTCAAAACACCATTAAAGTTTATAATGAGCCTCAGCTGTACTATAAAGATAAACAATTCATTTAATATCCACTTTACACTAACATGTTTACATCCCCATTGTGAGCAGCTAAAGGTTCTGTTAATCATTTAGCTCAAAGCAAAGCTGTGCCTTAAGCTTATATCGCTGAATAATCCATAAGCTTATTCTATAGTGCACTCATAACTTGAAGTGTAATCAAACATACACACAGTAAAAATGAAGTAAGATAGTTTTATTCCAACTCAGGGGGACCGGTCCAGATCTGATGGAAACAACTGAGCTGCCTTACAGTTAATGCATCAATAATTTAAAACACACTGAGAGGGTTTATGAAGGCTTTTACTTGTAATACTTAAGTACATTTTGCTGCTAATACATCAGTAGAATTCTTAAGGGGGCACTCAACCTGTTTTACACATGAAGTTCAGTGTACCTGTCACAAGGCATTCTGCTCAGCATGAGAAAGACATGGTTTCCTCTTGCATGTGGCTGTCATCTGAGGAGAGGTTTAGTAAAAAAAAAAATTAAAAAAATCCAATGTTATATGGGATATTTCATGACACTGGACACTGACCCATTCTGAAGAGACAAAATGAGTCCTCTCAGCCTTCTTCATTCTTTTCCTGTGTGTCTTGTGATCGGACCAGCTTTATAGAGTAACATTATTCAATGCAAAGCTTTTCTTAATATCCTTATTTACTTTATCAAGCATTTTCACAATGCACCATTTTATTTTTCTAAAGGATCTGGATACATCATCCATCACTGTCATCTGAGATCTCATTTTCATGTAAACACTACAATCACTAAGAATACTCACACAGCTGCGCCAACATACTTATCATTCAAGAATACTTGTGATCACCATGCATGAAGCACTGCTGTATTTTATAGTGTATAGTGTTATTTGTTGACAGTCCTCCACACAAGAACATGAAATCTATGCTGCTGCTGCTACTGCTGCAGATGATGCTAAGTCTCTCTGTAGGGACTGACTCCAGGATGTGATTATAAGCTAGAGTGCAGTTGGAAATTCAAGCTGCATCCTTGGGCAGAGCGGCTGCTCTAATCAACTGCATGTAATTCCTTACCTTAGCCACAGGTTAAGTGCCTTCCCCGGGACGCTGGCTACACCTTTAAACGGTAGGGTATGATTCCTTCACAGCCAAGTCGGTCTCTGGTGTCCTTCAAGGCACGATCAAGCTTCCATTCCAATCTACCCCTCCGATTCACCCTGTCAGCATCACTGCAGGAAGACAGAGCTACCCTTACCATGAATAATGGATGTATAGTACAGTCATTAGTATAAATAAATAAATGACCACCAACCATGTGTAACAGAATTAGTCTTGTAAATGTAATGATGATATTATAGTAACAAGACAAGGAGGGAAGACAACCTATCTGGCCATGTGCCCAATGTAAGCCGATTAGTCTCAGCTTGACTCTGTTCTAATATGTGTGACTTATGTATATAAACATTTCAAGAGCATCATTTACATACGTTTCATGGAGATTCTCCGCTTAAGAGGTGACACTTTTCATACATTATTCATCTCTGTCTTTTCCGAACTTGAGAAGAGCTTCAAGGTGAGGTAAATATCTTGGCATAAGCATGGTTACGTTTTTAGCAGAAAGTGAGCTTTTTTTCAAAAGCTTTATTTTTGGCCTTTTTGTGCCTTAATGGAGAGACAGGACAGTGGATAGAGTCACAAAATCCAGGAGAGAGAGAGAGAGTGTGGGGAATGACATGCAGGAAAGTAGCCACAGGGCCAATTCGAAAACTGGGCCGCTAGCTTGAGGACTTCAGTCTCTGTAGCTTCATGGGGTTTGCTAGCTAAACCACTTGGCCGACAGCGTCCAGAAAGTGACCGTTTCTAAGCCATGCTTACAATGCTGACTGATGAACAGCAATTTTCAGTCAGTTCACCACTTAAATTTCCAAATTTCCCCTTGGGATTAATAAAGT